TTAAATCCTTCTCCTGTGCGCTGCGAGTATCTTATTCGACGGTGCAGCTGTGTGTTGTTGCTAAGGGCGTCTTCACTGAGCTCAGAGTCAGCAGGCGGACGGAGGGAGGGAGCAGGGCGGCGCTTACCGGGCATCCAGACGGCAGGCAGAAGGGCGCCCTGCAGCGTCCACATGGAGGTCTGCAGAGGAGCCAACAGGAAAGTGGTCGAGCTTCTGCATGCATAAGAACATCACAGGTTGTTTTTTCTCACATCACTGCGCGAAAAAGCAAGGGGGGAAAAACAAACAAACAAACAAAAGACTGATGTAAAGAATTAGCAAGTGGTGCACTTGTGTAGAAGAGAGCCATAAGTTTCAGAAACACCCGGGCTATTCCTGCGGCAAGAGTCCTGTAAAAGGCTTATAAGCAACACTCATTAGCAATGCTATTATCTCAAAGTAATTATTATATATTATAAAGCAATTATAAAAGTGGTTTTTATTAGAAAGTGGTGCAAAAGGGTCAATAATTTGCTAATTCCTGTATTTGAACTGTGGATACATGCTAAATGTGTTTTTTTTTGTTTACTTGTTGTTTTTTTTGTTTTTGTTTTTACTGTTTTCAGACATTTCTACAGCACAATAGGTCCACTGATGGGCTAATAAAGTCAGATGCACATATATGGCATAATATACTGTGCCAATACCCTTTTCGTGCTTGTTTGTTAATGTTTTAAGAATATGATTACCTGTGATCTGCAGCCCAAGAATTAAGCATGGCTTCTCCTCTCCCTCTCCATACCCTATGAGGGAAAGCTGTGGATTGAAACCGGAGTGTGTTTGGAGATCTATACAAGGCTGGATATAGTTAGAGGCAGGGCAGAGGACAGACGGAGTGAGACCCAGCAGGCATGAGAAGGGGAGCAGGCTATATTCAGATAGTGATACATGCTGGGCAGAGGGTGATTCTAATCTTAGCTCTTTCTCAGAGGTGAGAAGAGGAGGTCTCTCTATATTTGCTGCCACAAATACATACACTGACACACTTTCATTTAGACCCCCCCGGGGCAGCAACCGACCCTTAAAACCTGTTGCTTATTCTTAGATGGTGGTGTATAGAGTGAGTAGGGTGACAATGCCTATAAACTGATCTGCTTATTGCACTTGCCTCTCAAGAGGTTTCAAGGTGTAAGCTTGTGGACCATGTGCCACTTTTAATCGCAGTGAAGTGAATTTAAAACTGCGGCCCAATGGGACCAGGTGCAAAGCTACCTATAGGTCCTCGAGGTGGGGGTCTGGGGGGGTCTGGCTGTATTTAGTCTGAGGCTGTGTGACAGACACTGACACTTGTGGGTTTATTCACCTGACACCACATTTTAAATGCTCTTGAAAACAATCTCATCTGGGAGGATACGTGTCAAAATGTGAATACTTTCTTACCAGAACATATAAAAACAAAATAATGGAGCTGTGCATGAACTCACACTACCTGTTACTACACAGTGATTACTAGTGATTGCTGTTGTTATAAGAACCCGCCACCTGCTGGTGATTTTGCAGCAATGCAAGCTGGTTCTGGCGGAGAAGGCATAATTGTCTTGTTAGAAACAGCAAGACAAGAAGAACAATTACATTTTTTAATATTGGTAATAGTAAGGTTATTTTTATGCTTATATGTGTAACGGCAGTACACTATTAAAATGTAAAAACCAGAAACTCATTATTCAAATACTGATCATAAAAAATGATGTCAAATTTTATTTCCATTTCATTCTTTTCACCCTTTAAGATCTTTAAAACTTATAGCACCATCTGATGGGAGGAGTGTCCCACAGAGTTCACAGAGCAAATCTTAAGTGGTTCAGCAGTTCCTTAAAATGAACCACTGTGCATCACACAGTTTATGGGAAAAGGGAAGCAAAGGGACTGAATGTTACCACAAAGGTTGATTTCCTTAATGTTGCCTCTGATGCGCTGCATACAAACCCAGCTCTCTTATGCCCAACAACAAACAAGGAGTTTCTCCGGGTCTGTAGTAACCTCATCTTTCTTTTGCTCTTCTTGAGAAAAACTATACTGCCGAGATCAGACAGTAACTGGGTCAGCCTTATCAGCTACTACCTCTCTGTTGTTATTTTGTCGTTGGTTTGTACACAGGAAACAAGTTTCACGCTGCATGTACATAAATCTGCCAGTAGGGGGCACCAAAAGATGTATTTTTACACACTTTTATGTGTTTTATGTTTTACGCAAACATTTCATCCGTGCTCAGGATCACTTTATGTTCTTGAGCATCTTTTCACCCAAAGTAAAGTCCACTATGACGGTGTTAAAATGATTTTTGCAACAGTTTGTTCATTTACTCCGTGTAAATAAAGCACAGATCGTGTGGGCCGTTATATTTTCATTAACATTTAATAATGCATCTGTATCCTCAAACATCATCTTTGATTATTGTTCATTTTTACTTAAACAGTTGCATAATGAGTGAATCATAGTGCGGTGGCGTAACGTCTGCCTGCTTCAGCATGTGCCACAACTCTCATTCACAGGGTGTAAGATCATTGTACAATCTACACATGTCTGTGCTTCGTATATATTTTACTTTGTCATCCACCATCCACAGAGCCTCTTTATTCATATCAGAATATCAGAGTGCTTTGTGATTTTTTTTATTTATTATTACATCTTGAATGAGAATGTAGGATGTTCCTCCTTAGAGAGCAGCACTGGATGGTGTTCATTTACAAGGTTTTCATCCAACCGTGGCCGGGTAACCTCTGCTCTTTGCTTAAATTTGAATACAGTGCTTAGAGTGCAGGTCACAAGACTTTCCAACATCAGCTGGGCTTTGTATTGACACTGAACTTGGAAACCCTGATTTTAAATGTATAATTGCGCCCTCAAATTTGATAAAAGACACTGTGTCTGATTTGATTTAACACTTTATAAGGTTATATTTATGTGTCTGGAATTACTCATGCATGTGCTATTTGTAACTGATGAGCATGAATGTGCTTTATAGTTTTTTTCTGCTTTTATGTAAAACAGTAAATGTGAAAAGCCAATGGATAAAAACAATAATCATATTTTAGCATTAAAAACATCGATAACACTTTATAATAAGGCCTGCAACTAAGGGCATACTTGGCTTTTTAAGTCTTTACTTAATGTTCACTATGTTGATGTGCATGATGGATGTTTTATTTCTCCCTTATTAACCTACAAGAAAAAATAAATACCATAACATTTTGCAGGGCTATGTGACCTTACATTGATGGAGCTAAGGCTAATGTACTGTTTTCCCTTTCACATCACTGTTCAAGCCATCAAAAGGATTTCACAGGAAAGGAGTGTCTCTTTCCCTGTAAAATACCTGGAAGTCAGGCAAAGTTAAACCACTCCCTAAAATGCCCAATCCAAAAAGTACAGTGTGTTTACAATGTAAGCCTGGGAAATGTTGTTTGTTTTTCCACAAAATTACCAAGTACTGTATAAAATTATTCATGCAGTGCTTACAATTGCTTGAGCATCAGTATAATTTCTGTCTCCTTTTTTGTAAAACACCCAGAATTTAGGCAGAACCTAAAATTACTTTTGCACTACTTAAACTTACTTACAGTATAGTTATGTGTTTTGAGGGTAAAAACAAACAAACAAACAAACAAACAAACAAAAAACCCTTACTTGTTACCCCCTTATTCTAGCATACCTACCATTAGGTAAATATACAAATTCATAATTCAATTTAATTCCAGGGGAATTATGACCTTAGTTATGGGACATATTATAAAGTGTTGCCAAAGTATAATTTTGATTAAGGAGCTTGCACATACTGGTGAGTACTGTTGATTTAGAGCAGCTGTGACTTTACATTGAGCGGTGGTATAATAAATTTGTTAAGCTCTATGTCTTTTGTACACAGACCTCTCTTGTATCGCAGTAAAGCATTTAATAAGTATTGATTTAACAGTATAAGATTGTTCACTGAAATATTTTATACTGCTGTAAAGAAAAACAAACAAACAAAGGAGAAAGTTTCAATAAAGGAATTTCCTTTTTTTTAATTTCATTTTCAGATTTTGTACAATTCTACTGATACACACACACACACACACACTTCTTCAAATAAAACAAAATAAAATCGCAATAAAAGCATCAGGTCTACACATCCCTCACATAATAACAATGTGGATGGTGTGAACCGTGAAATAAATAACACACACACACACACACACACACACACACACACACACACACACACACACACACACACACACACACACACACACACACACACGGAGGGTTTGGTGGAAAGACATGAGTGTTACAGGACAGAAAGAAAATTGAGAGAAACAGCACCACCCGAGGGACACAGGTTTGCACACATGCGAAAGCACCCATACATTTAACTCGGGCACCTGTGTGCTGAAACACAGTACATAGATACACAGGGGCACAAGAAAAAAAAGGCACTGCCAGCAGGAACAGCTCAGGCTTTGGGTGGTGGCGTTAAAAGTAAGAAAAAAAACAAACAAACACACAAACAGTACAGAGGGACGCATGTGCTCATGGACAACAGGCCTCGTGTATCAGTACTTTTATGCACTAAATGAAGAAGCATAAGAACTTCTCAAGGTTGAATGTTTTCTGTGATGCATGCACTCCAGATGTTTTAGCAGCCAGCTAATGTGCAGTTAGGATCCGTTACATTATACGTGCACTAAATGCACATCTTTGTAAGTGAGGCCCAATGATGGAGCCCTGTTGACAGACACACTCATTTTAAAACACTATTCACATGATCCTCACTGCCCTAAATGAGAGTGCAGACACACGCGCACACAGACGCACACACACACAAACCAACCAGTAGGAATGATACCTAAAAATGTTCATTTCAACAGTTAAGTTAAACCTTGTCACTCTTTTTCCAGTGTCTACATAATTCATATGCATTGCAAACACATCATTGGTACATCATAGCCATGTTCATGAAATTTATATATTATTATTTCCTCTTTTTTTTTTTTAGGTTGGAAGGCAGGTAGATTCAAGAAAACCTAAACGCATGCCCAGCCCCAGATGTTTGGACCATCATTAACCTGCGTCTACTGTAAATGTGCAAAACAGAATCAGTTTTCCTCACATACACCACCTTTAATTCAACAAACTTTTGTCTGTAATCGCTTTAATCACTCTCGGCAGATGTGCCCCCTCTCTAAGCTTTGGCATCAAAGTCCTGTAACATTTAATATACAACTCCATCAGTGTACATAAAGTGTGTCGATAAAGGTTTGTGGTTCACCTCCCTCGGCAGGCTTTTCTCCGCAGGTGGGGTTCATGCAGTTTGCAAGTGGAATTCATGCAAGTTTGATTGCGATTAAAGTGAGAGGGGAAATGGAAATTATATGACAGTTATCATCTTGGAACATGTCTGGATTATGTGTATGTTTTGCAGGAGCATGGAGAAGGGTGCCAACTGGGTGTGGCTGAAGAAGCACTGACTGAATTTAGCAAATAAGAACAGATAAGCAGGGGCTAAAACGAGCTTGTTCTACGTGGAACAGGGCTATCTTTTTCCTCCTTTAGCTTTTCTCTGTTCCCAATTCATGCTCCCTGAGAAAAAGCCCAGAATGGATCTCGCTTTCTTATACCTGTTCTGAGATTTCGAAACTCCTTAAGAAAACATTTTCTAAGGAGAAGCACGGGTTGCCAGTACTTCAACTCCCACCCTAAATACCTCCCTTAGAACTCCAGAGAGATAAAATAGCACATCTGCTGATAACTGATATATCATTTCCAGGTACAACACAGTATGATTGTCCTTCCATCCCTGCATGATGCAGAAAAAAAGTAATCATGCCTACTGTTCTAATCCTAAGTCTATGTGCAGGGAAGATGAGCTCAGACTCATGCATAAGTAACACTTGCAGTAGCAGCAGCAGCAGCAGCGGTAGCAGAAGAAGAGGGAATCTTTACAAACACCACTTATTATGAAAATCTATCAGTCTCAACTCGAGTTGAGTTACAGTACAGATCTTTCTGTGTGTATGTGTGTGTGTGTGCAAGCGTCCTTGGCACTATTTGTCCCATCAGCTAGAAGACAACACACACTCTGTAGCTTTTTACAACGCTTTCGACTCCCGATCCCCTTCACAAGGAGGCGACGTATGAGGGGTTGTGGTGGCGGTGAGAGGGGCTCATATGCGTCCTGAGAAAGGCTATGCAACCACGTGTGAACATGTGTGCACGTCCGCGTGTATATCTGGAGCTCCAAGAAAAGCTAGTTCGGGCTCTGCTCTGCGAATAGATCTCGAAGGTGTCGGAGTTCAAAGGGTCAGTCTCTCCCTGGGTTAAAGCCATGACGTTATGTGTGACGGGGGTCAGGGGGTATGTTGTTGAAGGGCCTGCTGTAGTTTCTTTCGGTAAACAGTGTATTTTTGCTCCACTGCTCTAATGCGCTCCGCCTCCTCTTTCTGAAGGATGACCAGGAAGTTTTGAAGCTCGGGGACAGAGAATGCATGCCACTGTGGGATTAGGAGGGAAAAGAGAAGGAGCAGATTTATAACACTTCTGGAGGCACTTACCCTCTTAACATTTGCAGCTTAGTAATAAACTTATGCATGTTTTTTTGCCTTCTCACCTCTACTTCTCCGGTCTGATTTTCCTTAAGCACAAAGCTGAGCTGCTCTGGATCTGGTCCCGCAATCAACCTTAGAAGAAGAGGGTGGTCAGAGAGAGGAAGCTTCTGGAAGAGGTCTGCAAAAAGAAAAACAGCGTTGATATCACCAGTTACTTTTCTGGAAACAACGCGAGCTAGCGGCTGCACATGTGTTGTCCTCACCCTGTCCATCGCGGTGCGTCTGCCTGTACAACGCAAACTTGCGTGGATCGTCCAACACCATGAACTTCTTCAGCAAGCCCTTGATGACCTCTCCTGTGGTGGTTTGAGAGCTGATGTGGAGCTGCTTCACACTGTCGCTTGGTAGATAGAAGGACGTTCTCTTCTCTGAATGCTCAGAGTCTGTAGCTTCCTGCTCCTTCGGCGGAGCTTGGAGGCGGTCGCTGACCTGCTTGGACGCACCCTCTGAGGCTGACGGGTCCACGCCATGGACGGTGACTGGTCGATTGAGCCTCAGGTGGACTTTAATGAAGCCTGTGTATGAGCCGTCTGAAGCCTACAGCAAGAGAGGGAAAGGTCGTGCATTAATGTGTGCAAAGTAACAAAATGCACCCTAATGATGCTGTTTAGGATCTAATGTCCACCAAACTTGTGGTGGTTTAAGATCTTTCAATTTATAGACAGGTTAATGCAGAGAAACATGGAAATTAGGAAAATGTGAAAGATGTGTTTTTTTCTGAACTTAACAAAAGATACAGTTTTTAAAAAAAAAATGAATCTTTAGTTACAGTTATGATTTTTTTTCTAATATAAGTGGAAAAACATGACAGAGCAGTTAGTTATGAAAGACCTACTGCATGAAAATTCACAGGCCTGTCAAAAAACAAACTACAAAAAAAACCACCAACCACCACCCCGAAAGCACTCTAACATGTTCAATCTTGTTTGCATAGTTCATGAGAAAAATGTTTCTCGCCGGCAGCAGCCACTTCCTGGTGCATTGCTATTCTTGTGATGTTGCAGACCAGCAGACCAAAATGAACTTTGAATGGTCCCAGGTGTTTGCACCTGTAAGCTAAGTTAAATCAAGGCTTCCAACAGGGAAGCAATTTTTATCATCTCTTTTGTGTTTTTCAAATCATTCCCGTACTTTGTTTTGTTTTTGTTTTTAACAGTTAAAAGCTACATATATAAAAGTGTGTTACTTTATTTGATCAAACTAAGTATTCCGAAATACTATTCCTAATTTAATATTTTACTTTCTACACTACATCCAGGTTTGTTTGGTTGTTTTTAATATGTGTGCATTAATGAAAAAAAGGGAAGCTAAAATAATAAGGTTTCATTGTGACTTTGAGACTGAATAGTGCAAATTTACAAATTTGTTTAAAAAACAAAACTCTCACCAATTTCATTCCATTTTCTGTGACTTGAGCGTTATACGCTTCAATCCTGGCCCGCACTTCTTCCACTGATAGGTCTTTTGTCGCTCCCTTCTCTTCTTCCTTTGCTGCATTCTGCTGTGAGGCAAAGAAAAAATTATTATCAGCACTGCACCACTGTCGCAAGTAGCAGGAATGTTTTATCTTTAACCAGCAGATGGTGCCGCTTCAATCTATCCAGAAAAACAAAAACGGTCTAATAGTCTTTGCTCAAGTTTCTGAAGAAAGATGAACCACAATCAGGAAAAACCCTTTCACCTTCCACACAGACTTGCAGACCTAGTGGGTGTCATGCTTGGCTCACAAATAAGACTAAAGAGAATCTAGGCCAGTTCCTGCAGGGTGGTCTCTCTTGACACTACCCTGCCCTCCATCTTTGCCATCCTCACACAGAAAAAGCTGACTCTGACTGCAGCTGATGGGCTTTGAATACGCGCTAAAGCATAGTTACACTAGCCCGCAGCTCTGCACGGGGACAGGAAATGTTGTGAATGGAGCTAATCGTGCATTCAGCATCTCAGCGCAAGAATATTGACAGCTTTGCCTCCCTCTTACTCATTTCCCTTTGTGAATAAGGATGAGAACAAGAGAGAGAGAGAAAGGAAGGATGCAACGAAAGGAGACGAGGGGGAGTCAAAGAGTGGGAGGCAGCGAAAGAAGGGGTAAGGAGTGATGAAAAAGCGGCTGCTGAGCCAGCCTTAGCAACACAGAGTTTGACTAGGTTATTTATAGTACAGTGGGATGCATCCTCTCTATCTCACAATAGCTTTTTTTTTTTTATTTATGTAAAATTTCCTCCCTTCTACTTGTTCGTTTGCATTTTCCGGGGAGGTGGGAGAGAGAGATTATGTGTCTTTGTGTGTGTGAGAGAGAGAGAAAATGTGATGCAGCTATGGTTTCTAGAGGGAAGTCCTCAGGTTGAAGATGAAGTCACGGTTTCTTTTTTCAATGGAAATGCAATAAGTGCACCCTTATGGTAACAAACGACACAAATAAAAGGACCCATTCTGGCTAAAACTGGGCATCTGGCAGGGGAAACGCTGCACTGCTTATTCTTTTTGTTGCTCTTCTTATTGCGCTACCAGACTCTGCCCAATTATAGTCCCACAATTCTGTAAAAATGCCAAAGTTGCAGCAGTGCAGCAGAATGAAGGTGGCGCCTTTGAGAATAAAATGTTTTACTAATTAGGACCCAAATACGAGTGTTTTTGCCTCATATCTGGATCATGAATGTAAGTATCTCTGTCATGGGGGAATTTGAAGCCTTCTGTTCTGCATCTCACAAGACCCATAAAAAGCCACTGAGTTTACTGACCCAGCTGCATTCATAAAAACATAAATAAAATAAAGAGCACATTGTGCAATCCAAGGTTAGGAAAGGAATCTGAGGGATACGGAGGAGCGGACTCGTATCGAGAATTCCGTGCAGTGGAAAGCAACAAAATGCAAAGAACCTCGCAGGAATTCCTGCGTTTGTATGTGAGTTTATAAATGTATCAGAAGCAGTGCCCTGCCCTGCCTGTCTGCATACCAGCGAGAGTGATCAGAGGACAATAGAGCCGGACAATAGTACAGTTTTCGCTCCTGTGAGGTCGGCAAAAGCCCTGACTGTGACCAGGTCGCAGAGGCGCACAGAGTCTGCAGAGGCATTCCAGGAAAACACATCTGATGGACTTGCACTGTAGATTATTGGCTCCAGAGCTAAGTGTTTCACTACATTAGATAGTTAGATATCTTTAGACTGTAAGTGCTTGAAAGTCTCTTAGCCAATGTGCAAGCACACTTCCATCATCTAATGCATACATGTAATAAGTTATCTGATTATACTGTCTCAGTCTCATATGAAACAATCAGCTCTTGTTGCCATGTTGGTTTTTAAACGCTCCTGTTTTCATAATTTAGATACCACACTTTTACCACATAAACAGCTTTTATTATGCTACTTGATTGAGCTTCACTGTGTTGGCGAGGGCGCATGAGGCAAACCTGAAGCAACTCAAATTTGTTCTTGTTGCTGAATGCATCTAAAAGGTACATGTGTATCTAAAAAGCATGAAAAATATAAATAAAATATCTCTGACTGTTACATAAGAGTCTCTCACATACACAGACACAGACACAGTCCCTCCAAGGTGACGCAGATAAGTGTTGATGCTCTCACTCTTGTGAAGCTGGACAAGAGGTTTTACGACTGCTTGAAATATCACGGGAGTGTAGTCGATATGAAATCAAGTATCACACCTGTCTGTGTGTATCACCTGACCAGCTTTTTAACTCAAACTTGTAAGACCGACAACATGACGAGTGATGAGCGTTTTCACAAAAATACAAACATTTTGAACAGTGTGCGATGGTCACATGCAATCACATACATAAAATACACACATGGACCTATGCACACGCAAACTGTCAGCAGTTTGTTTCAGAGCGCTGTCTTTACAGGGTCAAGTGTCAAGGAGAAGTGCAAGCTGATTCTATTTCACAGCCCACAGAGCGCTGTGTGTGTGCCATCACTGCCAGCAGTGCAGGTCTGTGCATGAGTGTGCACTCACACAACAAACGCACAAAAACCTAAGCACCAGCATCAAAATAGATTTACTACCACAACTTATTGCATTTTTTTATGATGACTGAAACTGCAGATATCTACGGTTGTTGTTCGTGGTCTCACTGTGATGCTAATTTAGAGCAGGATTGTAGCTCAGTTTTTAATATGTTGTATGTTTGAGTGCAAGCAGTAACAATCATCTGTGCAATGACTAACTAACACGAGAGCTACAGTTGATTCAGCTGGTTTGGATTTAGCATCACTTGATGCTCTGGACTGGGCCCCACAGGTAGCTAGGTGGCTAATAAGGCAAGCTACGTGACACAGTAACACTTGGTTGTACACTGAAGAAGTGAGAGATTTCACGACAGGTTGATGTGTTTGGATCATATCAGAGTTTCTATTAGCTAAGATAATGTAGGAGGAAGTAATAGACACAATATTCTTGTTTTATTAGCATAACACGGTCTGTTTCTGAATAAAAGGTTACAGGTTTCCGGGTGAATATCAGTGTTATAACTCGTTTATTTGGACCATACCAGAGAAACACACACACACACACACACACACACACACACACACACACACACACACACACACACACACACACTTCAGTTCACTTCCTTATGCACAAAACTTATGATAATGTCTCTATTTACAAGATGCATCTCAGATCTTTGCATACTCCTTTTCCATATTCAAACACGAGGATAAACAGAGCACTTTGCTCTTTAAAGACGCACTGCCCCACAGGGCTGCATTTAACGCAAGCACACAATTCAGTTTCTATTGGGTATGTAGACTAGCTACCATGTTGTCTAGCTAACAGTGCTACTACATTATAATTCATATAATATTTCTTGGTTACAGGGCGTCGGGGTCATCAGTCTCAATCAGCTGGCAGCTTCTGTTCTCTCAGATCAGGCAAGTCAGCCTCCTTAGGCTGTGAGCCTGGCTGCAACCCTAACTCCACAACCTGACAGCATAGCTGGTCAATTATTCAGAGATTATACCTTCTCCAAGTCAGACACCAAAGGCAGCACAAGGCAAGGACAGCAAAGAAGGGGGATGAGCAGGTTTTACATGAACACCAACTGTCTGTGTTGGTTTGTCAGGCCGCCTCCCACTTCCTGGGTCTCTTTTCTCTTTTTCGTCTATAGTATTGACAGCGCTGCTTTTCTTTCAAGTGCTACTTTAAATACTTTGGTTATGGTTTGTTACACAATCAGGTCACTGAATGTACAGTAGAGCTAAACTAAATCTCAGGAAGTGTGAAAACTGCCAGTAAAACCAGCAATGGGTTGCTATGGTAACTAGAAAAGTGCAGTTAAACAGTATACACACACACACACACACACACACACACACACACACACACACACACACACGCAGGCTTGCTCTCGTGCAAAAGTATCAGCTTTGCCTCTATGGAAACCTCTCCACTCCCACACACTGTAGAGAAGAAGCCTCCATGAAATCAGTCTGTTAAAAACAAGCAAACCTGACAAGCCAACAGATCAACGTTGAACAATACAGCTGTATTACAGTAACCCCTTCCTACTTTCTCACACACACACACACACACACACACACACACACACACACACACCTAGAGGCCTACTTAACCATGCACAAACGCCACCGCTTCCTCTCCTAACTTCTCCTTTTTGGATAAAAGTTTTGTTTTTTTAAATATAGAAAAAGTGCAGTAGAGTTTGTTTGCCGGCACGATTGGCGCACTGACTGAGCTTGCTCCGATATTAAAATTTCAATTATCAGGTTGACTGTACTCCTGATTCTGTACCTTAGTTGTTTGCCTAGGCTTGCGGAAGAACGAGGTCTTGGCTGTGAAGAAAGTGAAGTCCTCGCTCTCGTCATCCAGGCTGCAGTACCCACTGCTCATGCTGTTACTGCTGGTCATGGAGGGGGTCAGCACTGTGTTGACGGTCATGGAGAGGTCCGAGGACAGCCTCTGGCACCAGAAAAGCACCAGAATAGCACGTTGGCAGCTCGAGGAAGCGATGGGTTGTCTCGAAGTGACGCTTGGGCACAGTCAGAGTCTACACGCGTACAACTGCCCTTTACTCATCCAGAAATAGTCTGCGCTCCTGTGCTGATGCATCCAGAGGGTTTAGATCCCACCTGCGAGGGCGAAACAGGTGAACTCTGCTTCGATTCGGCACTTTGGGTGCTACCGGAGAGACGACCAGGAAATGCAAGAGCGAGCAACAGACGTGTCACTTCCTCCTGTCATGCGTGTGAGTGCGTGTGAGAGTCACAAACAGGCCATTCTGTATGTGCACCTGAGTATTCTCAGCTAGACATACAGACACTTTTACGCAAAGCTTGTAACTACCTCACACGCACGCACGCACAAACGTAGGCACACGGCGGAGTGATGGAGTCAGCTTACAGACTGGTTTCAAGTTAAGCTCGCTCACCTGAGAGCACCTGTTATGCCCACAAACACACACTCGTTAAGGCATGCATGCAAGCAACACCACATCCTGCTTTGATCCTGCTCTGTGTCTCTGTGAAGACCCACTGAGAAGGAGCGAATAACAGTCCAACTAAAGTCCCTCATGCACAACCAAGTCAATTATGCTGGCATTTATTTGTGTAAGCATCCATCCGTCCCCAGGGTCTTGGGTAAATAGCAGCAGCAGAGCTCCTCGACTGCAGAAACGAGATGCTCACAGATCCCCTGCTACCTCCTCTCTGCTCTCCTTCCCATCGTTTTGACAATGTTACCAAAAAAAGGACAGAATCCTCACACTCAGCTCCTCTCTTTCTTATCCTCTCCCTCTTCTCTCAGCCTGTCTTTGCACCAGCTTCACCGCCTCACTCTCTTGCAACCTTGCTCAACCATCTGTGGTTGAGCGTGTTATCAGTCTGCAAGCGCCCTCCCCCTTCTCCCTCTACTCTCTCTCCCTCCCTCTCTCTCTCTCTTCCTGTAAGCGACTGCACCCTGCAAAGCATGGCCACTTCCTCTCACAGAGGGGAAAGAGAGAGGTATGTGTAAATAGAAAGAAATGCTGATGAGTGAGAGATATGAAGGCCCGTAACTTCTGTATGACATACAAAACACGAGCACAAACAGGAAGCAGCACAAAAGCCGGGCAAGATGGCTGCTCTGCAACTGATATTTGGGTGCAGCGTGCAACGGTTGACTGGAAACCATCATAACCGCCGTAAATGTCACTTTTATGTAGAACCATCCCGACTCTTAATTTGTCAGCACCGAAACACAGGCAGGGACCGACACAGTACTACAACAAAAAGGTGCACAATCATTGCTGTTTTGGTGATGAGGGATAGGCTTATGGTGCCCACAGAGAGAGAAAGAAAATGAAGAATGATGGCTGTTAGCATAGAGATTACCGTGACCCCTAACCTCAGAGCGACCCTACAACCTGCCCTCTAACTCTGGCAGCGACCCCCTTGCCAAAAAGCAGCCGACGCTTGCTGCTGCTGAGATTGATGTGCCCATCTGTCTGTCGGCTGCTTCAGTGCATGTAGCAAGATTTTAAAATCACACAATAAGCTTTGGGAGAACTGTGGCATGCACCGACAGTGTGTCAGCCTTTTACTGGGGTGTTTTTCATCAGGTTTAAGTCAGCTGATGACTGATAACCTGCAGCTCTGCTCCTCGCTTCCATCAGCGTAATCAGTATAGGAGAAGAGTGCTAGCAGGGGGTGCTGCACACAAACTAGAACACACACACTACTGGTCTCAAGTCGATGAAACCTGGTCAGCGTGATGATCCTTTGTGTGGCTGCAGCAGTCTCCGTCCATATGGGGCAAAAGGCGATCAATTTCTGCTGATGTACACACAAAAAGGACTCGTACTAACCACACACATGGTTACAGTTATAAAACAGAGCAATGGAAAAAAGGGGGCTGCAGGAAACAAAGTGTCGTCTCTCCTCTAGCCATTCAAGAGGCTTTATTTGAAGCACACCAGTCACTAAGTTCATATGCCACTAAAACTGACATAATCTTTTAATGCTGACATGCTGACTAATGGCCTAAATGTAAAATACATAAAAGCAATTTTGTCGTTATTGTTTTGTTCATGTGTAGCTGGACAGATGACCTGAATGTAGGACACCAAGGCAGATGAAGTAAACACAACAGGAACCGGTAATGGCGATTACAAAAACACAGAAACACAAAGTCCAAACAGCAGCAAACCAAGAATCCAAAATAAGAGCACAAGAAGCATAAGGAATGCAGGGGAAAAGCACTGAGCACAAACAAAGGGAAACACAAAGTCCACATGGACAGATGAAGACAGGGCTATTAACCCTCCTATGAGAATTTCAGTTTTGATTTTGTTCTGGGGTCTTTAAACACATCTTTCACTAGTTTTCTTTCCAGTCTTTGAAATCTTTTGCTTCCTAACTCTGCCAGGCTCGTTCTGTACTGTGTGGCTCTCTTCAGTTCTTGACACTTTTTGTGACAACTTTGTATATCTCTCTCTTGTTATATGAGCATCAACAATTCTTTTTCTCAAGTCTAAACTGATGTCTTTTGCTTTTGCCAAATAGAAATAATTTATAATTTCTAAAGAAAACTAGTGTTTGTATAAAATAGGAGCTGGTGTGATGAAAATCCCTTGCTCTACTAAAAATAGCACTTGGGAAAGTTTGACCAAAAAAAAAAAAATTCATAATGATTTTGTCCTCTGGGGTTAACTGCAAAATGAGACACTGGTAGGGACAAGGAGCGGGTGAAGTAAACAAAGCACATATAAAACTAATGAAAGGCGAGCAGACAATCACAAAGAAAGGAAAGCAACAAAAACAGGAAGTACATAAAACAACACCACACATGAGAAAATAAACCTTCAAAGTAAAACAGGAAATAACTGAAAGACAAATAAATAACAAACACGCTGAAACAAGGAAAATGATGCTAAACATGATGCACGGAAACAAAATGACACCAGAAACAACTAAAAACTAAGGGAAACAACTGGGACTGTGGCATTTATGTTCCACTAGAGATTTTGATTGAAACCAATAGAGAACAAGTGGTGCTATTGGATCAAACGACAAACACACTTTGCTCCAATTCTGTGCACGCTGTTTTGATCGTATTACGCTCTATGCATTCGCTCACACTCGCTAGATGACCTCGGGACATAAGAGGAGCTGCCAACATTTTGCTGCAGGCCTGCTTGGTTAGCCAGAGTACTCTTGTGCCTGATATCTGTGTGTCTGTGCGTGTGTGGATGGACCACATCGCGTGGGTGACTGTGGATGGCATGCCAAGAGCAGCACACTCACAATCTTATAGGTCCCTAAACACAACCATGTGCTTACACAAAGAGTGAATGAGGCACTATTTTGACGATGGATTTTACGTAACTACTGTATCACTTGGACGCCTCCGGACTTGTACAGTAGAAGAATAGGAAACAAGGCTAAAAGCTGAAACTTTGAATTTCAAGTTTAAAACTGTTGATTTCTTCTTTATATAGGTTACTGACTTACCATCATCCATGGATACTAAAAATTACATATTCCTTTAACATCTAAAAACTCTGATATAGAGCAAGCAACAAATAAGGTTCCTGTACACAGAGTTAGTGCTGTGGACAAGGAATGTCCACTAATTGCAGTGTGAGTGGTTCTCCGGCTCCTCCTGTCTGTATGCCGAACTGATAAAGTGCTTTATGGGTGTGTGAATAAAGCCATTTGAGTGGTCAATGCAACTAAAAAGCACTTAATAAACTCATTAAGCAATCCAACGGTAGTAACCAGACCGAAAAGCAGCGCACATTTCGGTGCTTTATTTCGGTGCTTTTTTTTCCTGAGCTGTGATACACTTTAGATTCTAGCCAATCATTTTACGTTTCCGAGGATAGTAGGCGGGGCCAGGTACGTACGTTCTGTTAGAGCAGAGCTACAGATTAAAAATGCCCAAGGCGAAGCGGTCAAAAGTCTGGCTGTACTTCACAGCAAAATATGCAAACTCAGCAGCCTGCAACAAGTGCTTTAAGCTGATACTGTGATACTGTCAAAGGAGGTAACACCTCAAATCCGATGAAACACCTGGCAACGCATAGCGGTTTTTTTTAAAAGCCGAGAAATGCGCCGTATTTGATGGCAGCAGCAGCCGTTCTTCTCTGCGTGAGTAGCTTAATGTTGTTTGTGTGTAATTTACGTTGAGTAGGCTAACCACGTTATTACATTAATGCATGTAAGGTGAACTAGCAAACATCATCATAGCTACATGCTGCTGTCTTCTTGTTTGATGGCAGATACTCCCTTCACCCTGGCTAAAAAGGCTAAAATGACCAAAGAAAAAGTGGAAAACCGTTAAACATGAGAGGTTTTTGGACAAAGTTTGTGTTTTTTCCATTGTTTAAGCACTGCTTCCAGCCAAGAGTGATACCATATATGCCCCATAGCTGCAGAAAAGGCTAACATTGTTATATTTTTACAAAAAACAGCTGAACATGAGAGGTTTTTGGACCAATTTTGTGTTCTCCATTCTTTAAGCACCGGTTTGAGCGTTTCAAAAGTACCGATTTGGCACCGGTATCGGATAAAACCTAAACGATACCCATCCCTAGTTAGGACATCCAGAAGCAAACCTCTACACTTCTGGAGAGAGTTGGTGAAGAGCCAAAGCTGGGAGAGAGAGGGCGGCAAGAGAAGTCATGAAAGTAGGAGAGCAGACGCTAATGTGACATAGCATATTTTGTCCTGGGAACACTTTGTGACCAAAAAAAGCAAATGAGTGCATAAATACATTCTTAAGTGGAGAGTTAAGGAGGAGAGACCGCATGCAGTCAAAGTGGAGGATGGTTATGTAAAAGTGTGGGCACGGAAGGAAAGAACTCTTCCATTACCCAGCCCTGACTCACGTACACCTCTGCTGCACACGTCAAAGTGCTTACTCTTCCTCTGTACCCCCCCAAAAATGGCACCCATTTCCTGTCATGTCTTTTAAAATACTTACCCTGAACTGAGAGGCTGTGGAGGAGCTGTGCCGTCTGGGAGAAGGAGCTTCCTCGGGCTCTCTGTCCCTCTTGTTGCAGTCAATCTGTACTTTACTTTTACACTCCAGGTGACATGTGTAGCTGCAGTCTGTTGATCACACACACAAAAACAAAACACTCCAGTCAGAGACAAGAACAGAGGCGCAGAACCGAGAGGGAACAGCAGCGAATTTAATCATGTGGTGATTTAATAATGTGGCCCCTGTGAAAGTGTGAAATGGTGATTAGTCGCATGTAAGTTATAAATGAGACCCAGTTCTGACTTAATCAAAGGTGAAATCATTCAAAAGATCCATTTGCACAGAAATCTGGCTCCATCTAGTGGCTAAGGGCAGACTCACAGCTTATACAGTGTTAAACTGCTAAGAGATTATATGCATGCGTGTAGTGATTCAGGAAAAATGGAGGCATTGATACCTGAACATGTGCTCTAATCAAGCAACTTTACCTGATACTGACTAATTTAAGGCCCGGTGAAATCTGGCTGTCATAATATTACTGCTCAGAGAAGGGATCAGAGAAGTAAATTCCCCTCCAGTGGAACTACATTAGTCAGTCAATAACGAACATGTCACATCCATTAAAAATCAAATGCATAATGTAACACAGTTTTAATGCACCGCAACAACTGATGGGCTTACTCCATTTAAAGGGAACAAATGGTGCAATGCTGCCATTGGTCAACTCCCATCGACCGCCCAGCTAGAGAAGAATAGATTCAACTCCCCCCCCCTTAAAATGTCCCCAAATAGTCCATCGTTGTTCTTTAATTTCTAGGTGGTTCCGCGTATGTCAGCGTCTGTTTATTTATGCCCTGCTGACTTTATTGTGGTCAGAGACTTTCCCCATTGCAACGCGCAGCCTCAGATCTCACTTCTCCTCCGCCGGTGAGATAATCCATGCACAAGGATATAGTAAAAAAAAAAAAAGATTACTATTATAGAGCTGCACGGACAAAGAGAGAAGTGTATTTTGTGGAAGCTCTGAGTCAGACGCCTTTCATGGTTTTTGAGCTTAAAGCTTCATAAAGGACACACAGTGCGCTATACTGCATGCGCTCGGCGAGATCAAACCTCAATCAGCATGTGTTGTTTTCTGTTACACCTCTTTGCTGCAGCTAGAGCTGAATGAGTAAGGCTGAGCCCTGCATGTTGTTTTTCTGTCTGCTGTTCTTAGAGGAGGGAGGGAGGAAAGAGGAGGGGGGGGTATCACTGCGTCTCTCACACTCAGCATCAGTAACCATAGTAACAAGCTTGTTAATGAAGCGCCTTGATGCGACTTTTGTTGTGATTTGGCGCTATATAAATAAAATTGAATTGAATTAATGACCACTGTTAAAGAGAAGGGCTTTAATGCTGTGTGTGGAGCTTTTCTTATTGGAAAATTAGCTAGCAGTTTCACATTATTATCCGCTACTGATTAAAAAAAACAGAAAGGTCTATGTGGGCATTAAAGACACTGGATAATGGTGGGCTTGCTTTTTAAAGCCGGGCTACGTGGGGAAAAAGTTTTCCCATGACAGTTTAGAAGTCACTTCAGATTGAGACGCCTCTCTGCAGTGACCTCTAAACTGCTGGTGTGTGTCTGTAGCTTCAGCAGAGAGAGAAGGACGTCAGTGCCTCACCGGCAGGAGGGATGTGTTGAAGCGAGAGGAGAGTTCAGATAGGGGATGCTCTGCTCGTGACACTTTAGAGGTCACTGCAGAGAAAGAGAGATAGAAAGGAAGCACGCAGGGGAAGGAAAAGGAGAAACTCCTTTCCTGCCCTGCTTTTCTTCATTCACTCCCTCCATCCACACTCTGGCTGGCATTCTGTGCCTTTTTTCCTCTGCATTTGGCTACGCTTACACAGAAAAACCACTGCTGGTGTTTGGTTGGGTGACAACTTAAAGACGGACCCCACCCTTTTCTCTGATAAGTAACTGCAAAAGTTGGGACATGCTGAAAGGAAAACAGCCACAATGTAAGGGTGGAACGTCTTTCCCTGCTCCACACCTACATGATACACCGCTGTCAGCAAGACGTTGTTCACCTAAACTCCACGTTATTCCCACGCTGATAGCATACCTCTGCCTCGCACATAAACAAACAAAGGATGGAAATGGCATTTCAGCGTTTTGGAGTATTTTGAAAATTCACAGAAGTGTTCCTGTACAGGTTTCAGCACCTTCCTTATCCCATTCTTTTGAATTGTTTGAGCTCAGGTTTTTCTTGTATGTTCAGGGTAAATGTTTGAGCGTCTGCTGGCATGCTGGTGCATGCAGGCCTGGTATTACATGAGACTCCTTCAGATGAGTGCTAATGAGCAGGTGGAAAAAAGAGTAGCAGCAGATCCAGTGAACCAGAGGGTTTCTGAAGGTCATGCAGGCGTGCTGACGTACGCACAGGCAGAACAGAAAGAGTAAGTAGGAGAAGAGTAAGCACTTTTCTTGTGTGAGTTTTCTAAGTAATTGCAGTTGAATGCAAATTGACCCCACCAGCCCCGAGCTCCTCGCTGGGACTTGCAAAAGGGGCTTTCCACTTTCTATTCTGGAAAGTACAGTGCACTCTTACGCCGTCCACTCAGTGGAGAAGTTCCTCAATCTTAAATAGATTCCACCCTGCTGGAGTTTTAGATTTTTGCAGTAGGAGATATTTACAGGAAATGCCATTTTACTTCCATATCTTTATGTGAAATTAGGCTGGAAACTACCTTTCAAAAACAACAACAACAAAAAAAAACTTCAACCACTGTCCACATTGGACTCTTCTAAAGCTGTGGGGACTTTTTTTGGTGCTTTCTCTCCCATCATTACAGGGTTCAGGATTTGAATTGTTGTTTTTCCCCCTGTAAAATACTTCTGATTAAATGGGGATGAGGTGGAGACACTTTGCTGGCAGAGAATGCAGAGCAGGTACACGAATGTAGCAAAGTACACTGCCACCAGCCTAGCTTCTTTCTGCGCTATTTCTGTGCTGTTTCAACGTGAAGAAGGGCTCTGGTGTTAAGTGTCACCACGGATAGACCAGTTGAGCTTGGGTCGACAACAGCCGCTGTGAGCAGAAGAAGGACGAGCTCTGATTTGTGAAGTAAATTCTGATCTCAGAGGAGGATGAGGCTGTTTTGTTTGTTTTCATTCTTTCTGGGGGGTTTTTCTTCCTTGTTTAGTTTCAGTTGAAGTACTTTGAGACGTTCCTGTACGCAATCAAAAAAATTTGACTATGCCAAGAATCGGCAGGTAGGGCATGTGGGTGGTTGTGGTTGTTTTTTCTGCGACATGGTGGGTGTGGGAGACACAGGCGTGGGTAAAAACAGAGATTATCAGTGAGTTTTTGGCTATGGAGGATGTCTGTATGGTTCCAGATAGAAACGAGGGGGGGCATATTGTATTTACTCCTCGTCTGGCTGAGGATGAAGGGGTTACACAGGGGTTAGGTAGCGATAAAAAAGGGGCGAGGATATTAACACACTAATGAACCTGAAGGGAGCTCTGTAGGATTTAGAGTAGCTTTGGGGGTCTTTGGGGGGCCTTTAGCTAGTCTGATCCCATCATAGCTGATTTGAAGCAGTTATCCATGTTCTCCTACTGCGTAGCTGTTCTTCATCTCTCGGCACATTGGTGAATAAAAATATTACCGTTCCGTTTTTATACTTGTCTCCATCCTTATTCATAACTCAAACCACCCCTCCATATGCTGCCAAATCGGACATGAACAGATCTAATCTAATCCCAAATCTGAATTTAATCTGACCCTCTTACCCCTTTGACATCTGTTTTTATTTGTGTAAACAGTCATTTCATATTTCGTTCTGACATTTTTAATCTTCATCGCGGCAGAGTCTGTCTTCTCCTCTCGCAAAACTCCCATCTGCGAGGTTACAGATGCTCTGAGAATAAGCAAAACAAACAAGACAGGAAGTGGGCTTTATTTTTGTTTGTTTTTTTTAGTCTGTGCTGTGAGCTGTAAATAAATACAGCTGAATATTTTTGTGGGTAATGATTACATCGTTAGTGAATGTTTTGGAATGATGACAGTTAGGCTGCATGATAAAAAAAACAAACAGCACATTTTTAAAAAATATGAAGTCCATACATGCATGTTGGCCCCATAAATGTCAAATAAGCAAAATTTCCATATAAAGTTATGGATCCCAACCTAACCATCACCCTACTATTAACTAAATGAGTCCATCTGAAGTGCGGTCATAAATGGATGGATGGATGGATCGATACTACATGCTAAATGAAATACAGTTACAGTAAAGCAGACTGACTGTACAGTATGTCCATATAGCGTTTATTTGAGGCTGCTTAACACATGTCCCCATCTGTTGTCACGAATGTAAAGCTTCATTCTGTGCTGACAACTGAACAAGCAAGCAGGCCTTGAGAGTTTTCCCATCATTCTATGGTGCTAATATTTCCCAGTTTCTAATTCACAAATGACTCTCAAACCTCAATAGAAGAACGTCCAGCGTAGTAAACTGCACTAAACTGCGTTCCAGTGAGGCAAAACTTTTAAAATGTGCACGACAGAAGCCTTGATAAGCCACTAATAGCTTGACTCAGTGAGCGCTCAGATTTGATACTACTTGTACTTAGACTGAGAGAACAGGAAGATTTTATAGCAGCGCAATAAATTTGGCACATTTTCGTAGCTATATGGTGTTTTATATGTTGTGCAGTTTCTTTTTTTTTTCATGTTCTGTGTGCTAATGCTTAAAAAGTACTTTATGGTTAATGGAATGGCCTCCATTTGGCTTCTGAGCACAACCTCTGATGGGCTACGGATACACAGACCGAGCCCTGACGACGTGGTTTTAAACTGACAGAGTGCACTTTTTCTAGTTATTTCTGTAAATATGCAGTAGCGCTAAATTATAGCCCCGTGTTGGCAGGAAGAACTGTCAAAAGCCTCCCCTGATATAATTATGTAACTGTGTCTTTTGTTTCAGGTCAGTTATTATATTCTCAGCAGGTTACAGCATCTAAGAAGACGCCCTGGGGATCCTCCACCATTTATAAGACTCTTTGGCAGACAAATATAGACTAAAGATGCAGTAGAAGACAGAACAGAGGAATCCAAATTGGACAGGTTCATTCTTAAAAGGATGAATAGGGTTTCCTTAGAGGGAACACCATCCAAAAATAGCTGCTATCTGTCTGTGGCAGCTTGTACTACTGATGGTGTTTCTAAAGCTTTTGAGGCCGCAGCATGACGTTACTCAGGTGGTGCAATGATGACCTGCTCCTTGAGTCATGTTTAGTTAGGCTCTTATCAGGCTCACACAGGAGGGCGCTCCTACACCTTCCCAAAGATGTGCACACACATTCACACAAAATAAGCTGAAGTTTTCTTTGTTTTTTAGTGGTGGTGGGGGTTTAAGCAGCTGCTGTCACTCCCTGGCTGAATCAATGATTCTGCAGCACCCAGCCATTTCACTCCCTGCCTCTTTTTTTTTTAAACCCATTCACACTTTGTGCTGATGCTACATTAGTCCTCTATTTGGAGAAAACATGGGAAAAATCAATGGCATGCAGCCTCAGGCAGGCTCACTTTAATCTCAAATTTCTGCTACAAATATGAAAGTCAATATGATAATTGACTTACAGAGGTTTTTCCAGGCAGACTGAAAAAGTGCAGGTTAAGAATAAACTCTAGTTACTGTGTGCTGTACACAAAAGCACACAGGGGGTTGATCACCCGTTAGGGGTACTGACAAAGACTAACACAGCTTACCGGCTCATTTCAAAGACAGATGGCTCGGTGCGCACAATACACAAATATTTTTGGCCCATGGCCGACCTCTGAGGCCAACCCAGCTCAACCTGTCTACTCATCATCTTTCCCCTTGTCCAGAGCACTGACCCTAACTAATCAACGCCCTATGCCCACATTTCCAGGTTTCACAACTTGTACACACTCTGCGGTCATCTTGATCATCTCCATACCTGAGTTGTTAAGCAGAGATCCATTGGAGGATGATCGCCGGAGGATTCGCAAGCTGTCGCTCCAGGAGCGAGACTTGGGCAGCCTCTTCAGCAGCCGCCCTAGCCGCCGCGACACGTGACCGAAGCAGGCGCTGCCAGCCTCCCCTTCCGATTCACCCGTCACCTCCTCTAGACACAGTGAAACCTGGCCGAGAAATGTCCTGCCCACCCTAACGCGCTCTGCTCCCCCAGCCCCAACTCCAGCTGCTGCCTCCCCCTTTGCCTCCTCCTGCCCTGGGACGGGAGGTGCTATCTGTGCCATGGATGGAACATGGTGGCACCATCCGGCAGGCACCGTCCTGTGTGCGTAACCCTCGCTGGAGGACCTCCTGTCCTGCCGCCGGCCGCCCCTCTCTCTCTGAGGACTGCACCAGCGCCAGCCCCCCCACTGCCCCCCTCTGCCATCCCAGCGCAGCCACTCTGCCACCGGTGCCACGCTCCGAATAAACAGCCCCCTCTCCACACGCTCTGCCACCCCTCCACCTGTACTTCTCACACCCTCCCCAGTGCTCAACCCCCTCTTCTCGCCCTACACTGTCCTCCTCGGGTCTACCCCTGAAAACAGTCGTCTTCAACCCTCAGCGTGAGGACACGAGCCCCAAATCTCTGCGGTACAACTTGTTCCTCTGTCGTCCTGCTGCTTCTCTCACCGCTGCTCTCTCATCCTCTCTTCGTCTCTCCCTCTGTCTCTGCTGCAGCACCCACACACTCCGCAGTGAAGAACGGCCAGCTTAAAGAGACAGAGACCCCCAAATGCAACCACTGCCCTAGCTTCTCTGACCCTCTCTCTCTCCTCTCTCCTCTCTTTATAGCAACAGGAGTCTTTCTGTCCCATCAGTGGCTGACTTTCCTCACTTCATTCAGTATCTGAAGACATCTTCAGACGTCACAGGCATCACTGCAGACGCTCCCAGCGCCGTTCCCCACTTTTCTGTCTCCTCGGTTTGAAATCCACATCATGGCGAAGAGGAAGTGAGTCAGCCATGCTGTCTAACCCCTCAACAGTGACATACTGAATTTTGTCAGTGTGAAGGATATGCTTCACCTTGTATGTGTGTGTGTGTGTGTGTGTGAGTTTGTGTGGGTTGCTGTGACACGCAGTCCGTTGCTTCTTAATATGCACTGTGAAAGAGAAAGAGTGAAAGCTCCTGAGAGTTCTCGTCCTGCCCCACTTACAGAACTGAGCAGTACAAAGGAAAGAGATGCTCACCATTCTCACACAAATCCATTACATTACAAGAATTTTCATCTATTCTCACTGCTTTTTCCCCACTGAGGTGCCTGGTTTTTTTGTTTGTTTGTTTTTTTAACCTGTGATGTAATGTGTGTTGCTAAAGTCTAAAATCCCCCGAATCGACCTCACCTAACAGGTTCTTGAGAATGTTTTCATTGGTCCTTACTGCTCTAACCACCTCTTCCTACACAGTCCTGCTATCAATATCCACCAAGGGCAACCTAAATATAGCCTGCTTGAACCCCCCATATACATACAGCAGAGTGGCAATGCAAAGTGAGGCAAACACAAAACACCACACGGGTCTTTCTGCAAAAATACAACAAAACCCTTCATGTCCTACATTTCTGCTTCTATTACAGCTAAACATATTAATCACCCTGATGTGTAAAGCCTCACTGAAATGACATTAAAAATAAACAGATTATAATATAGGTGTTCAATCAAGCTCTGTTCAATACTCAAAGCAGCTTTGTACTCAGACTCAACTTGATTTCAACTTTAGACACATGAGCTCCAAAGGAATGCTTTGGATGAAGTCTTATTCAAACTATATTCAGCTCAGCGCTGGCAGAGCGCAGCAGCGGTATGCAGGGACAAGAAGGTTATGAACCATTTAACACAACCCTCCTCCCATGTTTTCTTCTTCAGTGGTGAAAAAGGCCAAAGGAAAGCAGTTGCTGAGACAAGGCCTGTACTGTGTGGACCACAGGAAGAGGTAGGATAAGGATGGAGTTCAGGGAAATAATACAGTCCCTAGACAGACAGGGGGTATGCCCCGAGGTGAAAAGTGTGTGTGTGTACACTTACACAGGCTTCCTGTTAGACAAATACAGAGACGTGTGTGGGCTCACACACTTGTTCATGAATGCTTTTGCTGTTGTCATAAATTTGAGGATCACTGACCTCTCAGGTGCTCACCTTGTCAAACAGACCTCTGACATGAGAAGCAGAGACACGCAGAATAACCGATAGCAAAGCTCACAAACGGTGGTCGAAGTACAAGTTCATGCAAACATGGCCACCGTGAACAATCTCTGAAAAACTTATTGATCTAAAATAGTTGAATTACTTGAGTAATCTAGCAGTTAAATAAAATGAGGATTCAGATTCTCTGGTTGTTGCTTCAAAACTTTGGGGCATTTCAGGGGTCTTTTGTTCTTTTTCTATATTATTGCACATCATACTGTGCTGGGACAACATAACCAATGAGGAAAAATGCTAACTCTGACAGTTTTCTTTTCACTTCCTTCTGGTCTCACTTTGAAATGTTTTGTTTCTATCCCTTCAAACTGTTTATTTAACTGAATGTACAGAGAAACATTTAAGGGCATCTCTGCAATTGTCAGTAGTCATGTTTCCTCCTCTGAGGCTCTCATAGCCCTCTTATACAGCATATAATGGCCCCAGATAACACATTAACAAATCCCAAAGCATGCTATGCTGCATTTGACACTTATAAATCAGCTTACATCTACATTAAATTGCGAATTGTTCATCTGCTGCCTGAATGTTACGCTCAGGGATTAACTCCAAAGAGGTTAAAATAGCATTTAGGAAGAAACAGTGTAAATACAGACAGTGCCACATGTCTTATAGATGACCAGATCCAGCATATCAGTGTACGAGCGCCACAACAGCACGCTTCCCTGAAAGCTTTAATTAAATATTAATCTGACGTCTGATCCTGTCTGTTTGTAATCCCAGTGATTCCACTCTGGAGAGATAATCCCAGGGCTGGAGACACTCAGAGCTGAGATTAGTGGGAGTGCCCTACCCCTCCTCCTCCCTGGTATAGTGTATAGATTTACAGATGTACGTATGCATCTGCTACACACTCATTTCTTTTTAGTGTGTTTAAATTAGCATTTTATAACAAGTTGTAATAATATGTGTAGTGCAGCGGTGTCAAACATAAGGGCTAGGGACCAGAGTCAGCCAAAGCAAAAGAAGCAGTGCATACATTTTTGGACATTTGACTGTTTTTCAGCTTTTCCTGGTGATAAAGAACTCTTCCATGGCCAGTCAAGCTAAACCAAAGGAATTAAGTAATAATAATTAAAAAATTAAATGACAGAAATGTTCCTTTTTAATCACCATCTATGGAAATATCAGTAAAGTTTTCAACGTTTATCAGATAAAAAACTGAGACATGCTGTTAAAATTGTACTTCTTTTTCTTATCGTAAGATATTTTAAGGGTTTAATGTTTAGTTAAACATCTTTATGGCCCACTTAAGATCAAAGTGGGCCGTATGTGGCCCACAACATAAACTGTGTGCATGTTTTCTGCCTATAATGGTAAGGGGGGGGTGTGTCTCCTACTGGGACAGACTAGCGCCAGTAAAGCAGCTCATAAATGTCCTGACTGTCACAGTCATCAGAATCTGTGTTGGTCTTTATGCTTTCATATGTCGTGCTCCACTGAAGCCTGATGTCACATATGGCTCATATATGTGAGTAAAGTCTTTAAGCTTTACCACAAATCACATTCTCATCCATCACCCAAGAGGCGCAATAAAGATAAAGAAAACATAAACACAGAAGAAAGGCAGCAGAAGAAAGTTAAAGGCCTGTACACCAACAGAGCAGCAGACTAGAAGACTGGGAACTCTTGGGAGATTGACAGATTCCAGTGCAGAGCAAGGCCACAACTGTCCCAGGGGTGCACGCTGCACAGCTGTTTGGGCTTCGTATGCAACAAAGCAAACACAGACAAGGCCGAGCGAGTGAGGCAACCAGACAAAGATGGAGAATGATGGTTGTTTATGGTTGCAGGGCCTCTTGTCTCTCACTCCCTGTCATTTGCAGGGAGCGGGGTGCGTGCGTGCCGTTTCTATTTTGGCAGTCACGGCTGCATTTCTTCCACCGCAAAAATACCTTAAAATGCCTACATTTGGATTGCCTGCTGAACTTCACGGCTGTTCACCGCATTCACCTCAGATGTCTTCTGATAAGAGAGAGCAGATGTACAACTAATTGGTTTTATCCATGAAGAGAGTAATTGTGAAGGGGAGTGAAAAAGTTAGTGAAGTTTTTGAGATTTAAAGAAACTGTGTGTTTTGTGTGTGTGCATGTTTCTGTGGGTATATATGCTCCAGTAATCTTTCTGCTCTTGCCTCAGTGAGCTCTTGCTGATAGCACACTAAATCAGACAGCTCGGCAGTGCCGGCAAACTTGCGCTCTTTTTCCTCCATCCCTCTCTCTTGTGCACTCTCTGCTCTTAGCTCTTTGTCTCTCCTGATTCCCGTCACTTGCCATCACCCACTGTTTGCAACCACATGCCATCCTTTATTTTTCTCCTTCATTTCCTCCTGGTTTTGTTTCACTGTTTGTTTGTTTTTTAACCTGCTTCATTCATTATCCCTCCCTTTCCAATCATCCTTTATCCTGCCTTATCTCACACTACTCTGCAGCTCCAACCTCGCCATGACAAACTACTGCTGACACAATGCCTGCTCAGCAGCCGCATACACTCAAACACACACACACAGAGGATGAACGCATGTGCAGTGGGTGTGCAGAGAAGCACAAAGGTACCTCAGGTTGAGTTCTAGTCCAAACTGTCTGTGACAGAGCCATGCAGATATGTTAGGAGTGGCATCATCAGATGCTGCTTTCTGTCTCTGAACATATTCTCACATCCCACAGCATCAGACTGATGTATTTAATATATTGTCCCCATTAAATGTGTCTGAGCAGACATTTCCACTACTCAGGATTTCACCAGTACACCACTGTGGATTCCATCTCGCCCTCTTTCTCTAAGTCTGGTAGCAAAGTGGGAACTCTGGGAGGCACAGCTGCAGAACTAGATAAAGCTCTTTCCGTGGAAGGATTTTGGCTGCCTGTGGTGAAAAAATCTTTGGAAATGTCCTTCCCTGTCACTCCGAGTCACTCACAAAGGCACATGCACAATTTTTGTGTGTTTGTCTGTGTGTGTGTGTGTGTACAAACACACAACCACAGCTATGGTTTGGCACCCAGCTACAACGTGCCCTTCATAAAAACTGCGCTGCAGGAACAAGACGCGGATCTCTAATTCAAAACACTCTGCATTCACGTGCGCAGTCTGTTCCACGATGTCTCGTGTGGGGAAATGAAACAGTAATCACACAAGTGAATGAAGCAGGTATACACCGAGTGTGTGGCGTGGCACCACATAAGCCTATAATCACTCATTTCCACGGGGAAAGAAAAAAAGCAACTCACTTGCAGTAGCCTGCTTTAACTACTTACTTTGACATTTGAGTGCCTCCACAGTGACCTGCCGGCTACACGCGTCACACCAGTCCTGCTTAACGGGCTTGGCCTCGAAACGGTGTCCTTCACCCCTTTCCGTCTTCACCCGGGGGTCCGTCCCCTGAGAGAAGATGGACCAGGCCTCCATGCGGTGAGGTTCGGGACGAGCCAGCTTCACCACTCCGGTTCTGCCCTGCGTAACCCGCTCCAGTGGAAGACCGCCGCTTTTCCCTGGCGCTGAATGCCGCAAGGAGATGCTCTGACGTCCGCTGTCTCCGTTCACAGAATCTGCCTGCGTCGCGCTCCGATGCCGGTGCAATCTTTTATGTCCACTCGCCAGCGATTCGCTCGGTATGACATTAGTGCCCGGTCCCTTCAGCGAGGAGCTCCTCCGACCCCCGCGGGCGGTGTGCTTGGCGTGACAGTCCATGTAGCTGTTGCTGCTGCAGTCGCCGGTGATGTGCCCGTTGTGACTTTGCCGTGCCCCAGCGGCGGTGCCCGCGCCGCTGTCCCGCTGCTGCTCCGGGCTACGTGGCGCAGAATGGGCGGACGGAGCCCCGCATCCTTCACCGGGCATCATTCCTCCTCTCACCACCGTCCCTGTGTCTCCTCCAGCAGTGACAGACACATCTTCCTCCCCACTCCCTGAGCTTCTCCTGAACATCTCCCAGGACTTTTTCCTCGGCAGGATGGTTTTCTTCCTGCCACCGAGCTGCCCGAAGAACTGCGGACTCGGCTGCTGCCCCACCACACTCACAGACGCCATTATCCTGTCAAACCCCCTCCTGTAAGCGCGTGTGTTCGTCTGTTTGAGGGGTGTCAGTGTGCGTGTTTTCACTCCGTGCCCTGACTGTAAACTCAGCTCTCCCCGCCGTGTCACGCCTGTAGTAGTGACGCAAGGGAAACGACACTTTTAAAGCGCGAGCGCGCTTCCCCAAAGACACGAGGGATAGTAGCGCGCATGAATTTCTGTTTAACGTTTTAGCACGCTAACCAGCCCGCATCACTGGGTGATATTGAACTTGATGACGAGTCAGTGAAATTTGTTTTATTCCAGCCGGCCACTTACTGTAAATGAAGGGAAAGCAACAATCTCCTGAAACCAGAAAATGCGTTTCTTAAAGAATCACAGTTCAGGGATATGCAGAGAAATACCACGGACTGGATGTATAATGAAACGAATAGCTTAAAAATGATAAATCTTCTCTTATTTAAATAGTCCGTTTCAAGTGGGTTTTTTTGTTTTGGTGTTTTTTGTTTTTAATGGGACAGCAAATTAAAGGCCAAGATATTTGACATGCCACACGTTTACCTCAATTTTATTTTTCTAAAAAAAGTGGAATTACCACCTCGAGATTGTATGCTTCTGCCATCCAGTCAAGTTCTGTTTATGCTGTGAGTCCAGATATATGTTACGGAAGATGATTAGATATGTAGACTTTGAATTTACACCAAAGATTACATCTTTGACCCCTCAGGTAAATATTTTCATCTTGTGTCACATCCCTTTTATATTTAAGGTTTAAATTCTTAAATTATGGACAAAATCACTTTTTGTGATTATGTGTGTTTATTTCTAATGGGGGCTTAGAAATAAACATTATTTTCAAATGATTTGATTTCTGTTTTGAGTTTCTTGTTGTCGAGTCTGTTTTGTTTCTGTTTGACTCTGTTCAGTTTCACTATTATTTTTAGTATTATTTTGCATGGAGGGGATTTGTCAGGGGCAAAATGAAAGGTTCTGACTCGGTACTGCAAGACAAACAGCATTTTTTGGGCAGCAGACTAACAAGTCTCTAACCAACAAGACAAGTCTCAACAGACCTTAGTGCCAAAGCCTCATCAGGAAGGGTGTGAAACCAAAACTGAGCAAACTGACAAAAACTCAAATCTTGTCCAATATATGTATATATTTATTTTAGAAGCATAGTTTTTATTTCACATAACAAAAAAATAAACCCAGAATGGCTCAGGCTACAACTATTACTGACCGGGAGGCGTAAAAAACACACATTTGATGAATCTGATTTGTAGGCCTCACTCTGGACTGACAGTATCGCAAATTTTGTCTCAATGTAAAATATCACAAAGTCTGTCTGTTACACTTGTTTGTGTGGGCTAAAAACAGTAAAGTTTTCCAATTTGCCAGAAACACGTCATGAGCTGAAAAAAATAACCACAGAGGCAGCTGAGCTCATCGCCCCCAACTGATCTGAGAAAGTCCACGAGGACGCCCACGCCCTGCCCACACACTTTCTTTCATTTTCAATTTCTCACACTTGTTTTACGTTTTCACTTCAGGGTTTTTTGGTGTTTAAGAGCAACGATATTCGTTCACACCCACCATAACCTGACATTAGGGGCCAGGAAAGGATTTCATCCACTTTTCTGTTTGAAATCTGGCTCTGACTGAATTATTTTTAAAGACTACAAAACAGTCAAATAAATAAATAAAAGTTGAAAAAACAGCAAGTATTTCCCCCCTAAATACCGCCTTTCATAATCAACAAATAACAAAGCTGGGATTTCCCCAGCATACACCACAGTGGCTAATGTCACTTTATAATGTCATTTTGGTCAGCTGTTATCGAAGTGTTAGCTTTAATGCCCTTCTGCAAAGAGAAAGAAGACACTGTGGTGAGTCCTGAGTTCCCCATGGTCGTGCTTCTCTTTTACAGGGATTCCCATGATGAAACACACAGAATTATTTTATCATTCCACTTAAAAACCAACAGGAACAGAAACAAATGTGGGTTAAAAAGATGAAATAGAGCAAATTCATCATCAAGTGGAATGATCAATCATTGGAAGGCCTTTTTCATCAAAAACACACAGACACAAAGAAAAACAGAGTCTACAAGCACAACCATTACCCTGTTTATAAGCAGATTTGTACAGAAACATTTTATACTGTTTTTTAATAATGTTTCTATATCCCAAATATAATCAAAACCTGCATACTAGTACACACTCTGTCTGGATAAATATACTATTCAAGGTTCTCCAGAGCCTACTCTTCCTCTTCTGTGAAACAAAGGACCACAAAAAACAGAGTAAGAGCTGACTATGCATTCATTGATCCTGGCTGACTATCTCTATGGCAGCCTATTACAAATACAATAACACTTAAGGCATTAATGAAGATTTTATTGATCTTATTACTGCTATACTCACTCACACACACACACACACACACACACACACACACACACACACACACACACACACACACACACACACACCTGAAGCCTATCCTCCTTTCTCTTTGTGCTTATCTTATTTCTAAATTGATAAAGGACATTTCATTGATCATTAAAGGAAGAGGAAGCAGATAAAAACAAACACTGTAGATGGTCCTTGAAAGGCCAGTACATTCATTAATGGCACTTAAGATGAGGTGATTTTCAGAGAGTGTGCGTGCGCCTCTCAGAGGCAAGATCCAGAGACAGTGGTCTTGTGTCACAGTGTAGAAGGTCTGGCCAGAGTCGGCTCCAGAGCTGCAGGAGAGTTCACGGCTCCCAGGCTATGGAACCACAGAAATACCATCAGCATCATGCTGCGTGTGCTTTGACAGATGAGATTTGTTAACAGTAAGGTGGTCACACCACTGACCTCTCTATAATACCGTTGTTACACTGTAGCTCCCTCACCAGAATCTCCATTTCCTCCTTCAAATGGTGCATCCTACAAAAAAGAAAGAAATACTGCAATGGCAGTCGGGAAATGTCTTAATTTTACACACACACACACACACACACACACACACACACACACACACACACACACACACCTGGAGACCATCTGGTCATTGTCTTTGGGTATGACTGCTGACTGTTGTTCTGGTCTTTTGGACTGCAGAGTGTAAAGGATTCTGTCCATAACCTGAGGACGACAAATGAGACATGACATAGTCACTGACTTGCTCGACATCACTAATACAATAACTACTGAGCACAAACAAAAAGGCAGCACAGGAAAAATGCATGTCAGACTCCATGTTTATGCATAAGGTGTCAAGACTGTCTCCTAGGCATGAAAAGAGTGATACTGACCTTATTCTGGCACTGCTCACTCATCTCTAAGTCTGCTATTAAGCCTGCAGAGAAAGAACTGAAGTCCTGCAGTCGGGTCTGCAGCTCCAGCATAAGGCTGCAAACAAATGTAGAAGCACACTTGAGTAAACCTAATTGGTAACAGACAGGTTTTCAAACCCACACCCACCATCCTGCACCATTCTTGGAAAGACCACTCTGCTTTCAGTTATTAAACACCATCATTAGGCTGGTAACTAGGCAGGGTTTAAGGCTCAACGACCTCATAGAAATAACCTTTTCTTCAAATTTTTAACCATCAAGTGAATACCAAAAATGTTGTTCACCCTTGTGTCCTTTTGGCCTCGCACTCCTTCACCTTCTTTTCCTAAGCCAGAGTTTCCTGTTGCTCCAGTTATTCCACTGCCTGCCATGGGAAAGCTATCGCTGGCCACACGAGTAAACAAAAATGCCATCCTGTTCCTGTTTTAGTTGCTCAAGCATCAAGTAATTTTCCACGGAGATTGGATATCCACTGACAGACAGTGCTGCCAAATGAAACAAATGCTTATAGATAAACAATCATGGTGGTGGTGGGTTTTCTTTTTAATTTTTATTGTCCAATCACGTTATAACGACGATGAAAGATAATTTAAAAAAGCATTACTGAGAAAATGGTGGTTTGTACATGTGCAGAGGAGTTGTGTTTTGGAGATGATCACACAGGATTTAACGATATTAAAGAAGTTTGATATAAAAAAGATTATCATTGAATCTAGATAAAACCAAATTTTTGTTGTTTGGAAACCAAAAGAAAAATATCAAAGTAAAAATATGTGTTGACAATGTATATTTAAAAAAAGAGTGAATTAAATAAAATTTCTTGGTGTGATCATTGACCACAAGGTCTGTTGGAAACCACAAATTACTTATGTTCAAGGGAAATTGGCACCGGGCATGGCCGTCCTGGGGAAAGATAGGAAATACTGGAGAAAGAAAGCACTGCACATATTATACTGTGCTTTACTACTGCCGTATATGAGCTACTGTGTAGAGGTCTGGGGAAACACATACAAAAGTAATACACAAACAATAACAATAATACAAAAAAGGGCCACTAGATTAATAAATAATCCAGGATACAGTGACCCTGAATCCTCCCTTAGTTATGTTGCAATAGACGTAGGCTGCCGGGGATTCCCATGATGCATTGAGTTTTTCCTTTCCAGTCACCTTCCTCACTCACTATGTGTTAATAGACCTCTCTGCATTGAATCATATCTGTTATTAACCTCTGTCTCTCTTCCACAGCATGTCTTTTATCCTGTCTTCCTTCTCTCACCCCCAACCGGTCGCAGCAGATGGCCGCCCCTCCCTGAGCCTGGTTCTGCCGGAGGTTTCTTCCTGTTAAAAGGGAGTTTTTCCTTCCCACTGTCACCAAAGTGCTTGCTCATAGGGGGTCATATGATTGTTGGGTTTTTCTCTGTATCTATGAAGCGCCTTGAGGCGACTTTTGTTGTGATTTGGCGCTATATAAATAAAATTGAATTGAATTGAATTGAATTCCAAAAGAAATCTGATAATTGTTTATAGAAAGAGAAGGTGAGTATAACTTAAGAAGGAAATGGAATTTTAAAATACAAAGTGTTAGAACAACTTTAAAAAGTATGTCTATCTCCATAGCAGGAGTTAAATTATGGAACAGTCTAACAGAAGAAATTAAAGAAAGTAACAACATAAACCAGTTTAAAATAAAATATAAAAAACACATTTTAAACAAATATAAGAATGAAGAAAACAGGGTTATCCCGGGGCGGTAATGTTGTTGGTAATGGTATTTTAGTTTGTTTGTTTCATAATTTGTGAATCTGCCAATGTAACCATTCTGTCTTTATTCATATGAAAGTAACTATACTGTGGTGGGGCTTGTTTATTTGTTTTGTTTTATTGTTTGTTTGTTTTGTCTTTGCTTTAGCTTCATATGTTGTTTGTTTAATTTAAGACTAAAAGAAAATTAAATCAATGAGACGTAAAACTTGAGGGGGTAGGGACTAATAAGTGTATACTTCTGCCTACTCCTTTTCAAACAAAATAATGGAATGATCTTTTGTAATGATTGTGAATGCACATGTTTGAAATAAAACTGAACTGAACTGAAGGAGGGACCGTGGATATATTGGATAAAGGATATAGAATACTGAACTGCCAGCCAGGGGGAAAAGAGGAGGACCTCAGAGAAGTCAAACCTTAAGATTAGGCTTAAAACCTTCCTTTTTGATAAAAATTATAGGTAGGGCTAGATCAAGTGACCCTGAATTCTCCCTTAGTCGCGCTGCAATATGCCTAGGCTGCTTGGAGCCTCCTATGAAAAACTCACCTTTTTCCCTGTCCATGTGTTTATACAGCACTCTGATGTAATTATTAATTATTATTAATCTGTGGCTCTCTTCCACAGATTTCCTTCTCTCACCCCCAGCCGGCAGATGGCTGCCCTTCCCTGAGCCTGGTACTTCAGGAGGCTTTTTCCTGTTAAAAAGGAGTTCTTCCTTCCCACTGTCGCCAAATACTTTCTCATTGGGGGTTTTCTGTTTGTTGGTGTTTTCTATGTTATTTCTGTGCTATTGTAGTTTTTTCACCTTAAAATATTAAGCCTTACCTTGAGGTAACTCTTGTTGTGATTTGGAGCTGTAATAAATAAACCTGAAGAAAATGTCACTGGATTCAGCTGAAATCCAGCAACAAATTGCAGATGGCTAAATCAATCAGTATTGTGTGTCAACTATGGAGACATTTCTTCATGGTGGAAGTAAGAATTGTTTTCTTTGTGTGTTTTTGTTTGGAACACATATTGTGTATTATAGAGGGTGGATAACATCTTTGCTTGCTGCTGGTGATGCTATCATCCAAAGGAGGACGATTGGAGTAGGGAGCGAACCACCCAGCCTTATTATGGTCATTACTTGAGCCAAAAAGAAGGATAAGTCACCACGTATTCACTGGATAATGACTTGTCAATCACAATCGTTTGTCTGGTCAAGGTGGCAAAAATTCTCAGTTTGAGGCTTCACAAGCTGCGTGGCTCCACCCATCTTTTATACCATATATGTTTTTAACCTGTATTTTAAATTAAAATGTTTCTACTCTACTTAAACACATTTGAAAGACAGAGAATCAAAGTGCATAAAGTACGTAACCTGTATTCCATGTTACACAAATATACTGTGATGATGACCAGGGTTAATCAATAACATACAATATCAGCTTTGATCAACTGTTTGAATGACTGCTAAAGGTTATTTTAATGAAGGAGTAGCTTGCTCTGACCTGTTCCATGTTCTTGTTGAGTCTAAAACCTCTTTGTATCTCTGCACACAGTCTTCTCTGAACAGAGATTTCACTCGCTTAATGTGGCTTGACAGGTGGATTCTGTCAAGGAAGAACGACAAACAGATTACACGACAGCGCAGGTACTTTACAGGCTGGGGCATAGCTGTGGGAACACAAATCCATAATCACACACACGCACTCACTTCTCAAACTTGTGGATTTGCTCATCATTGTATGCTAGCTCTGTGGGAAAAAGAAGAAATCTGTCAGATGAATAATATGAAACACAAACAAGAAATTTATAGTATCTATAGAGAAGCTGTGCATACTGCCAGTCAGCCTGTCTTTACGATAATGCTGATGAATTGCTGTTATCTTCTGTAGCAGCATCTCTATCTTCTGGCAGCTATAAGAAAAGAAATTAGTTCTAATAAACACTTATAAATAAAACCAATTGTCCATTCTGCAGTTTTGAATCCCTGCCCCCGATAGTACCTCTTATCATTGGCCAGAGTCTCTGACAACTTGGCCTGTTCTATCTGCAGTTGATCAAGTCGGTTCTGAAACTCTTGGATACCAGCACTGTACAAAGGTAGGTGTTGATGAACCTGAGGAGACAAGCATCTCAGATTCTTACACACAACACATCAACAAAGCACAAATCTGTGCAATCAGTTATGATTCAAGCACTCACATTTAGGGGATTCAATATGAGACGCATCAAATATAAGCTATGCTGTCTGCCTGTCTCTCATGATATTGAATTTCAGTCAACTGCGAGGGAACTCTAACTCCTTTGCATACCAGGTTTAAATCTTACTATAACACTAAGGCAATGTGCCTGTTTATATATAAATTCATAATAAACCTAAATTTAGCATCCTCTAAAATTTGAACTACAATACAGTATCTTATAATTCTAGTAGCAACTAAATATCCATCTCAAAGACACTCAATCAGTGTTAATATTTGCCAATAGGTAGCATAAAAAGCAGGATGATTATATCTGCTTTCCCTCTATGATGTTTTTAGAATAACAGCATGTAAATCAGGTGCACCACAAACTGCAGCATCCAGTACTACTACTACAGTACCAGCAAAAAGGTATTAAACCTTCACAAAGACAAGACATAATTTGAGTTTTAATTGTACAGTTTTAACTGGGACCTGTATAACTGCATCAGTCGAGCTTGTCTCTGTTTTTTGCTCTTGGTACTCACCTGCCGCAACCTTTGACCATTAGCAGCTGAGCCTTGATTTTCTGAAGTGTAAGGGTCTCTAAGAAATGTAGCAGATATTGGAGGAGAAAGGAAGGTTATAGGTTAAAGATGGCATTATTACAGTATCAGGAACATTAGAAATGTTTTGTGTCTATGTTTACACAAGACCTAGCCTCATTTGTCAAGATAAAAAAAAAAAAAAAAAATCTACCTCAGGTAACAAGTATGCCCGAATTATTGCAAACACTGCACTTTACCATCTCGAGTGCACTTTTACAGAATTAATTTTCTGTGCTTATTCTAAAAACACTTACGGGTGCCAGTGCTACCCTTCAGCCTTCTAGTAGATACACTGTATGTATTCATTTGAAAATCCCAGGTGACTCCCTTCTTGAGCTATCACATTCACAAGATTTCCAGAAAACTTGCTGCAACAACAATACCTCTTCAGCCTTTTACAGCTTAGGGTTAAAAAGTGTGCAGACAAACTTACAGTGTGCGAATCCCGTGTTCTGCATTGAGGCAGGACTGCAGTCTAATGGTGACCATGGCAATACTGTGCAAGGCTTCTCTGCACTCGTTGCGCAATTTCATTCTAAGAAACAAGAAAAATAGGGAAACGCAGAACATAAACTGAAGGGAAATAACACCCGGGAGGCCCAGAATTCCAAGAAGACTAACAAATAATTTTTATCTGTGTTTGTGTCTCACATGTAGCTGTAATATCCCTGCAGCAGCAACTCCCGGTGCGTGTGCAGCAGCCGTACTATCCTCAGATACTGGTGGACTACACCTACTACAATCTAAAAATAAAAGGGGATCGGGGGGAAAAGAAGGCAGATATGAAAAGTGTTTAGTATATAAAATAATATATTAAATAATATTTTAAACTACCGGTAATAACAGGGAGCATTTACCTTGGAGAAATTGTAATCTGCCATGACGTCAAACCTGGCCGGGATGACGGGACTCTCTGCTGCAGAGGACAAAAGAAATACATCGCAAAAAATATAGAATTCATGAAAATGTGCAATCATGTCTGTGCAACTGTGTGATAACAACTGCATGCTCACACCAAACCAGCTAAAATATTTCTGTTGAGACAGAAACTGACACCTTTTTCTCAAAACTTAACACACACATATTTCCGTTATGCAAGTCTCGGTCTTACGTTCTCTGAATGGCAGGCTGGTGTTTGCTTCATCAGTTGCATAGCTGAGCAGAATGAGGGGCTGAGAAGGTGAAGTTCGTGGAAGATTGACCACCTTCATGCTGCCCTCCAAGAGCAGGTCATGTCCGAGGTACATGTGATGTTGTTGCTGTACCCCTATACCTGTTTGAGACGCCACCTCTTCGAAGAAGATTGATACTCTGGTTGAGAAGAGAGACAGATTTTAATTTTGTTAGACACATTTTTAAATTTCAGGAGCAAGTTTGCTTCTTAAGACTGTTCTCAGTGCGCCTGGTCGCTGCTGTTTGGAGTGAAGCTTATTTAGTTAACTTCTTTCTTTTTGACTTTTCTCCTGGAGCTGGAGGCTTTGAATACCCTTTTGATTTGTTCTTGTCATTGGTGTTTTTCTTATTAATGTCCAAATCCCCACAAATAAATTGTATTAAATTTCGGTGATTACATGTGTCAGTAAGCCTTTTAAACCTTTAGTTCGCTTCATAAACAATGACAAAATAATAATGGTCAGATTACCATAAAGCTGAGTTGCAGACATATTTTTATACAAAAATAAATGTAAAATAATTATTGTATTTGTTTTAGCTTTTTGTCTTTTTTTCAGTGCTGGCAGAGACAAAAACAGGAAACATGGGGTGAAAAAAGATGAGGAAATAGCAGCAGTTATGTTTGCATAAAAATCACTATTTCTTAAATTACAAACGTAACATACAAATCTGCTCTGTCCTCAAACGCTCTGAGTTCTACTGCACAGATTCAATGAACTGAGAGTGAAAGGCTTTAAAAAAGCAATTTGAGATTACAGATATAATCCACAGCTCAGCACAGAATTTACTGGCATTACCACATTAAAACTATAACACATATTACACCTCATTATTCTGCGAGTTCTTCTGCTGCGTATTTCTTGTATAAATTCCAGAAAACAAAATGGTTTCACGTCATTGTCAGTAACAAATTCAAACTCTCATCAAGATACTGAGCTTGCACTACATTTTTTTAATAAACAAAAACAGCCAAAGGAAAAAAAAGGCCACCCATAAAGGCCTCTGCAGACTTACGTGTTGTAGTGGTGTATGTAGATGCAATGTGCCATGGCCTGCTGCAGAGAAAAGAGGTGAACTGCTTGCCGCTGCAACACATCTGTGGTGGCTGTGAAGAACTGGTCAAAGCACCAACACTTTTCCTGGTCAGCCTCCATTATACCTGCTAGTACTGGAACCAGCTGCACCCTTAGACCCCTACAGCCACAGAGACAGGGAGAGCAAGAAAAGGGAACAACAAAGAGAGACAAAAAAAACCATGAGGGTTTGATGGTGACAAGGTGTGTATAAATAGGATTTAGTTGTTTTTATTAGGTGGCATACTGTGACAGCTGGCAGCTGTGAGGTAGGTGATAGCTCCAGTCTATAGGTCCGCCCTCTCTCCGTTGTATTCCAGCTATCGCCCCCATAGGTTTCTCTGTGGTTATTTTGAACCTATAAAACAAAACCCCCAAAATGGTTCAGAGGAAATACATAAATATATGTCCTAAGGCACAGTTACTAACATTGATCATGGCTGGTACATGTAGATGTACAGATGTTAGCTGTGGTTTCAGTTGGGGGCTTGAAGAACTCTAATGTATTAACTTACATAATGGGCTTGTTCCTGCGTGGTCCTTCATATGGTGTGAAGGGAAGACTCCCAGTGGCAGCGTGGTATAAGGTCACACCAATACTCCACAGGTCGACACTCACCCCGTAAGATTTATGATGAGGCTTACGTAGCACTGCGCGCTCATACATGTCTGGGTGCTACACACACACATGAAGAAGAGAAAACAGTCAAAGCACCTTCATAGTGAGCCACAGTGCGCCATTTCGATCCAGCACTGTGTATCAGTCAAGTCTACATAGTTCACCTTTTGTTCTGATAACGCAGTGATTCCCTGGCTGGGGCCCCCTTGTGGGGTGCAAAGGTACCACAGATGGGCCGCAGAAACAACAGAAGGTCAGTTTGAAATTCCTCAGATGTATGTACTTTTATAAATATATTTATTTATATAAAAAGTGACTTAAAACTGGCGATAAAAGCTTGTGAGTTTGGGATATTACTCATTATTTTAGCCTAAAGTCGCTGCTCTTGTATCAAAGTTTGTGTGCCAGTGGCAGGTGGGTCACACATTGGCCTTTAAGACGTTACATATGACTGGGTAGCATTTGAAATTTATAGCCATAATCGTGTTTTTTATGGTTTTCTGATAAAATTTTCAAGAAAATACATCACTTGTATTTTGATTAGTGAGTGAAGATTTAAGACTAGATGAGCCCCATGGGATTTTCTGGTTTTTAAGTGGGCTGCAGCACTCTTGATTTTAGGAATGGCTGTTATAACTAATAGATTTGACCACTAGATGGCTACCTAGTCCTGATCATGCAGGCTGCCTTTAAATATTCAAATTTGGGCTCCTGAAGATTGTCATTTAAATGTCACTTGGATACTGTCCACTTTGCTGTGAAATCGGACCCTGGTAACAAAACATTTTCACATCTACCTCAGGTTAAATCACTCGCAGAGGTGTTGGTCTCAACCTAATCTAACATAACACAGAGATTCACATCAGAGTTTACAAGGTAAGATATTCCATTGGGGAAATTGGGAAAAGCAAAATAGTTTAGTGGGGACAAGGCTGCAAGCCGAGTGCTGAAGGAAGCATTTTAATTATTGCAATATGAAAGTGTATCGATTTAAAGCTTTTACTTTAAAAATCAACACTCCTTGCGAACATGTTATGTTATATACTTTTTATTGACCCCAGTTATTAGATGGGAATGAATGCACTCTTTCACCACTGTACCTACAGATGGAAAAACGCATCATCATAAATGTTTTTAACTGTAGTGCAAATGGAGCATAAATGCAACGGACCATGTCAAGGCCACCTGCAGGCTAACCCGAACCTGAAAAAATAATATAAGACAACTCTATGTCCACTAACCACTGCTTGCTTTATTCTTTAGGCGGGATAGTGGACCTGCACAGAGCACTTGCTGTCGATGAAGGCAGTGTAAAAAACATGTATTTCAGTCAGTGAGTGGGCTACTCTTCCCTGTCCTGTTGTTCATCCCACAGACAAAAACGATGGAAAGTATCCACTACAGCTATTGTCTGTGCGTTTCCTGCTGTATTTTTTTTTAAATCTTTGATTTTTTTTCCACATTCTCCCTTTTTTATTCTGGTCCACTCGACAGTGAATCAGCATTCAATTGACTCCTAGGTGATTCAAGTCCAGTGCCGTACAGTAGGATTTTGAAGGACTGCATGGCAGCACGTGTGCGGTGGCTAAAAACTCCTCTGTTTGCTGTCCTAATGGAAGCATGTACATCTGCTGATATCCCAGCGTTGGTGTTGTTTCTACATCATCATAGCAGTGTCGGTCGACAATCACCATCGCAACTGACCAATCATGTTGTCTGAGCATTCATTTAGCATTAGCCAAGCAGTTATCTAATCAGGGCTTTAGGTGCACCAGCACAAATGTTAGGTGCACCCAAATCTTTCAACCGCATCGCTTAACACGACAGTTTTACATATTCACTTTTTTTTTTTTTTTTTTTTTTTTTTAAATTGCTGTCCATACAGACATATTGATTTGTAAATGATTAACTAACAATCTTGTCAGCACAAAGTTCTTTATTTTGAGCACAGTTCTACAAGAAAGATAAGTTACTGAAAAAGTGCTTGTGCTTAAAGTGCTTTGGCACTTTGCCACTCTTTGGCAATATTGCAGGCAATGTTAAACTTAATCATGATCTCTGCCTCCTCTGATGACCTGTTTCCTGCTGTGAAAGGCAGTGGGGAGAGGGGACACCTGGGCAGTGCATTTATCGCGGCATATAATGTGCTTTCTGGATACACTGTGCTGTCTCAGCATTTCAGTTCGAAACGTATTAGCACCAGTCACAATTGCAGTATTGCCGGCCATGGTCCTTCCACACAGTAAATGCAGTGCATCATGTTGTCAGCTTTATCTGTATCTTAGCCAGGGAAACTGGTCAAGCCACTCTTCTATTGTATATACTTTCCCCCTTTTGCTTTCAATGGGCTCTGGCTCGGAGTCAATCGTATGTGGCTCATTATCTGATGCTGTCTCTGGACCAGTGTTACAGAGGTTTTATTAGAGACACAGCTAGTTTTGCAATTTGGCATAATTTTAAAAAAGTTTACATTTCTTCAGTATTAAACAGCAGAAATTCGGTTTTCTTGTCAGAGGTCATTCTTGGGAAAAATACAATTTAAAAAAAACAGCAGCCGACAGCGCTGTACACGACTTGTTTGTAACAAGCGAACGAATAACGCAGAAAACAGATTTGAGATGGGAAACTGTTCTCAAAATAGAGAAAGAGCTGTGAAGGAAGTGTTATTTTATCATGGTGGAAGCAAAACAGCAAAAGTAAGAGGGAATTAATGGCAATGTTTATCAAATGTGAAGTGTAGTTTTGATCTTCTTCAGTGAATTTTGGTTGGAGAGAGACAACACCTGCAGCTTCACTGTGAGCTGTCGGCTTTCAGCCCCGACAGCGTGGGGGCATAAGTGCCGTTGGGTGAGAAAGCCGACTGTGGTGAGGCGTGGTCATCGATGCAGACGCACCTGCACAGCATCCGCGATCACGCCCGCTGTGTTAAAACACGGGGGAGCAGGGGTTGTGGGTTGGAAGTTGTGGTGTGATGTGATGCGTGGCTGGCAGCTTAAGAGCTGCAGCTGATAACAATAAATGGCTCTAAATGATGATCTGTGGTCCCACCGTGACTTATTCACACCACACCGACATCTCACAGATTCTGATGCATCAGGTCCATGCTTTGTGTTTACGTCTTTGTCCGGAATCCTTTTCCCTGCTCTCATTTACTGTTTTAGCTGTTTGGTGGTTTTTGAAATAGTTTTGTGAGGTTTAACTTGAGATTCTGGCGTTTCTGATAAAATATATTTATATTATATCAGGATTTAATGAATCAAATTGATTATTGACTACTCACCTCTCTCTATCCGCCTGCACTTTCAAACGTATAGACACCTAGGCCTACAGGAATATTTGGACCAGGGCCAACCAGAGAGGTCCCGCCCCTGACTATCTCTGATTGGTTTAGACCACGATATGGGCATAATGTGTGTCTGTTGTTGACCACACGTAGACAGAGTTGCGGAGACTTTTTTTACTCAAACGGCTGATCGCACCGGTGTGACCTAGGATATTTTTTAGTCGCACCATTCAGAAATTAGGTTGCATGTGCGACCTAATTGGTCGCACTCTAGAGCCCTGCTAATGCTACTATCACAAGCAAACCAGCACTAAAAACATAATAAACTGTAATCAGTCTTCACTCACTTATTCGAAGGTCCCCAAAGTATTTACAGTGGGGCAAAAAAGTATTTAGTCAGCCACCGGTTGTGCAAGTTCCCCCACCTAAAATGATGACAGAGGTCAGTAATTTGCACCAGAGGTACACTTCAACTGTGAGAGACAGAATGTGAAAAAAAATCCATGAATCCACATGGTAGGATTTGTAAAGAATTTATTCGTAAATCAGGGTGGAAAATAAGTATTTGGTCAATAACAAAAATACAACTCAATACTTTGTAACATAACCTTTGTTGGCAATAACAGAGGTCAAACGTTTACTATAGGTCTTTACCAGGTTTGCACACACAGTAGCTGGTATTTTGGCCCATTCCTCCATGCAGATCTTCTCGAGAGCAGTGATGTTTTGGGGCTGTCGCCGAGCAACACGGACTTTCAACTCCCGCCACAGATTTTCTATGGGGTTGAGGTCTGGAGACTGGCTAGGCCACTCCAGGACTTTCAAATGCTTCTTACGGAGCCACTCCTTTGTTGCCCGGGCGGTGTGTTTTGGATCATTGTCATGTTGGAAGACCCAGCCTCGTTTCATCTTCAAAGTTCTCACTGATGGAAGGAGGTTTTGGCTCAAAATCTCACTATACATGGCCCCATTCATTCTGTCCTTAACACGGATCAGTCGTCCTGTCCCCTTGGCAGAAAAACAGCCCCATAGCATGATGTTTCCACCCCCATGCTTCACAGTAGGTATGGTGTTCTTGGGATGCAACTCAGTATTCTTCTTCCTCCAAACACGACGAGTTGAGTTTATACCAAAAAGTTCTACTTTGGTTTCATCTGACCACATGACATTCTCCCAATCCTCTGCTGTATCATCCATGTGCTCTCTGGCAAACTTCAGACGGGCCTGGACATGCACTGGCTTCAGCAGCGGAACACGTCTGGCACTGCGGGATTTGATTCCCTGCCGTTGTAGTGTGTTACTGATGGTGACCTTTGTTACTTTGGTCCCAGCTCTCTGCAGGTCATTCACCAGGTCCCCCCGTGTGGTTCTGGGATCTTTGCTCACCGTTCTCATGATCATTTTGACCCCACGGGATGAGATCTTGCGTGGAGCCCCAGATCGAGGGAGATTATCAGTGGTCTTGTATGTCTTCCATTTTCTGATGATTGCTCCCACAGTTGATTTTTTCACACCAAGCTGCTTGCCTATTGTAGATTCACTCTTCCCAGTCTGGTGCAGGTCTACAATACTTTTCCTGGTGTCCTTCGAAAGCTCTTTGGTCTTGGCCATGGCGGAGTTTGGAGTCTGACTGTTTGAGGCTGTGGACAGGTGTCTTTTATACAGATGATGAGTTCAAACAGGTGCCATTCATACAGGTAACGAGTGGGGGACAGAAAAGCTTCTTACAGAAGACGTTACAGGTCTGTGAGAGCCAGAGATTTTCCTTGTTTGAGATGACCAAATACTTATTTTCCACCCTGGTTTACGAATAAATTCTTTACAAATCCTACCATGTGGATTCATGGATTTTTATTTCACATTCTGTCTCTCACAGTTGAAGTGTACCTCTGGTGCAAATTACTGACCTCTGTCATCATTTTAAGTGGGGGAACTTGCACAATCGGTGGCTGAATAAATACTTTTTTGCCCCACTGTAGGAAACCTGGCAGAGGTTTGCTCAGTGAGTCCGCTATCTTACCAGATACTCTTCAGTTCCATAAATGGAGACAAACTTCTCGTCATCTTCGAGCTCTCTTGCTGCTCCAAAGTCTGTCAGCTTGTAAACAGACCTGCCGTCCTCCCCAACCTGCCGCATTATGTTCCCTGGCTTAATGTCCCGGTGTACCACTCCATTTTCCCGCAGGTGATTCATACCTTGCACTGAAGAGAACAGAGGGTGGAAAGTTTCAGGAACAGGTGCATAAAATTACAGACCGATACCACATATACACACCCACCTATACACTGCAATACTGTGAGGAACTCTGTTTCAGCGAGACCAAAGGCGTTTTCCGGCTCCTCGAGCAGGCTTAGGAGACTCCCTCCTGAACAATACTCCATCACCAGCACCTTCTGTTTAGAGGGCAGCTGAAAGGTGAGGGATTAACCGTGAGGTGTGCTTCTTTTACATGTTGCTAATATTTTTCTTTTTTTTTTAATATAGATATCTTTTTGTATTCTTACCTCTTCCACGGTGAATAGCTTGATAATATTGCTGTGATTGAGTTTCCGGAGCATCTCGAACTCCCTCATCTGGACCTGGTGGGGGCGGTTGTAGCTCATTATGTTAAACACCTTGACGGCCACCAGTTCACCCGACCTCTGCAAACACGCATGCACATTTGCATCACAGATACATCACAGAATTGCGCAAATGTGTCAGCAATCAACAGCATCTCTGAAACCACAGCTTTTCTTATCGTACATCCTGGTATTGCTCTGAGCAAAAGAAGAAGAAGAAGAAAAGCAGGCTGAAATTTCAATAATGACGGCAGCACTGATGTGAATGACTTTTCCTGTGAGTACGATGAGATGATAAAACCATCCTGTGGTTACCTTATGGCGTGCTTTGTAGACGCTGGCAGTAGCCCCCTGCCCGAGGACATCGTCTACAGACCACAGGTAGCTTATTGTACTGGCTGTAATACCTGACATACTGGAAGAAATGAGAAGGGAGGGTTACTATTATTAGAAAAGCCTTGGGAGACAGAACCAAGGTTATCCAATCATAAAACAAACAAATGCTAAAATAAAGAGGTTAGTATCGGATAACCGTACGGCCTGCTGTTGTAGTATTTGTCAGTGCATTGCCATACTGCAAATTCTGGTGTCAATCTGATACCAAGTAATGCAGGGCCAGCATTACCTTTTGACTTGTAAAGGTACTTTACCTGGGGTATAGCAGTGTATCATGACATACGAGATGCACCAGGATCAATTTGCATATTCTAAACAAAACTCCTCTGTTTGCTGTCCTAATGGAAGATGTACATCTGCTGATATCCCAGCGTTGGTGTTGTTCCTACATCATCATAGTGGTGTCGGTCGACAATCACCATCGCAACTGACCAATCACGTTGTCTGAGCATTCATTTAGCATTAGCCAAGCAGTTATCTAATCAGGGCTTAAGACCAACTTTTTGCCACAGTTGCACTGGTGTGCCTAACTTTTTTCTTAGGTGCACCAGCACAAAAGTATTCTAAACAGATTTAGAGATCACTAAATCATGGTGGTTTTTACTTTCTACAACAATTAGTTGTTAAAACAAAACCTTTCGGCTTTTCATTTATTGTGAAACTGGGTTTTTTTTGGGGGGGGAGGCCTGGAATGTAAATGTGCCTGTCTGTAAAGCACTTTTGGTCATCTTTTATTAATTAAAATGTGCTGTAGGCTATAAACAAAATCAATGTGACAGTCAACACAACAAGTTTGAGACATCTTTCATACTGCATGACAGGCTCCAACCCACACCGAGACACTAATAAGGTTAAACGGAAAGGAAATGTTGGATAGATTGATGTTTGAGGTGAGGTTTTTTTATATTTCTAAAATAAATAAATAATTTAACACAATGCAGTGGGCTACATGTCAAACTGAGAATAGAAAAAAAAGTATCGATCCTATTATGCTAGTATCGATCTGACACCAATACCGGTGTTGTGCCAAAAAGTGATTGTCTGCCAAAAACTGATTTCCGGTATTTGCCAAAAACTGATTGCTCGTATTTAAACTGCTATAAGTAACTTGATGGCCTATAATATGTGAAACATATGTCAAATGCATCCCTCATGGATGACACAAAGTCATATTGAGCCACAAACAACATTCGTGTAACAAGGTAGAAGCCGCAATCAGTTTTTGGCAGTGACTTTTATAGAACCTTTATTTATGCAGTTAAAAAAAATCTCATTAACATTAAAAATGTCTTTTGTAAAAGTAAGACAGCAGAAATGGCAGCAAATATTACAATAGTTCAGTAAAAATATTGTAAGTGGGGGAAAAGGACCGGATTGGTTATAATGTGAGTACAATAACACAGAGTTATAAAGATACTTGAAAAAAACAGATAATCTTTTAATTCTATATATAACCCCTTTGTAAACGCTGTTCACCGAAGTCTATTTACCAACATACGTAAAGATATTACACATAAAAAATACACGGAAACATTGGAAATCACTTTTTGGCAGGCAATCACTTTTTGGCACAACACCGGCGTTGGTATCGATACTTTCAATTTTTGAATCGATCCGCCCACCTCTAGTATTTGCATTTATTTATTCGCTTTAAACAGGCTAGTTGAGTTCATGTCGTCACAGCAGCCATTTTTCCCATTAAAAGCAGGTGTTACATTAATTAAAGCTCTGTCAGTAGACAAATACCTCCACTAACACGATTTTTTACATTTTACTAAACTTCTACATCAAAGGCTCTATTAAAACGACGTTAATACGCGGTTAGCTACTTGAAGCTAGGTGTTTAATTCGTTTAGCACGGCTCGCGCTACTAACCTATGTAGGAGCTGTAGCCGGACCTCACCTGGACCCGTTGCTGCTGCTCGTCAGTCGTCCTTTAATTTAGCCCTGACGGTTGGTTACTAACTCCAACTGCCCTCTGGGTTACTGTAAATCCAGCTCGTCTGAAAACAAAATACGCCTACGTGTGAAACTTCTTCCGCAGTTAGAAGCAGCTTTCATACCTGGAAGGGCTCCTTTCCGAACAGGTGAGACGCGGAGAGGAGGTGCTGCTGGACACGGGCTCAGTGTGCCGTGGGTCACTTTTTGTAACGGGGATCCAGGAGGGTTCGTTCAGAGCCAGCAGCTGGCCGCATTGCGTTATCGTTTGGGAAGTGCGGACTTCACGTTGTGGGACGGACTTTAGATGAAGGCGGAAATGTAGTTTCCCTCTGTGCCTGTGTGAGAGTGACTGCCGTGAGAGTACGCAGATCAGATCAGAGAAACTGGGGCTGGAAAACCCAGGAGCCATACTGGGATTATGTTTTTGCTAGAGGGAAGTTGTAGCAAAAAAACAAAAAACACCAACAAAACTTTGCTACTCTCTTACATAACCATACAATAGTTTTAAGTGTACTTGGTAATGAATGCTCTTATTTATCTCTGTGCATTTTGCTCCTTTCACCACTGACTTCCCCAAAGAATTAGATTAAAATGAAAATTGGCCGCTTAATTTTGCTGTTTGTGTTTTTAGCGCTTTATTAGCAAGTGTTTCATTACTCCTCCTTAGCATGCCATTTGTGTTATGTTTATCCACCTGTTACTGTTACAGCATGTACAGCTATCACTGCTGTACATGCTGTAACTATGTACAGCTGTCACTCCTACTACATCACTGCCAGCATTAATCATAATCATCATAGTATCAGATCTGTATTTATAAATGGCATACTAAGGAGGAGTAATGAGATATAAATGATGAGTTAAGCATTTGCTAATGGAAAATATGTTGTAATCAACCGGATTTACGGAAGGGTTATATAGAAATTACTTATTTTGCAATCGTCTTTATTACTGTGTTATTGTGACTACACCATAATCCATCCAGTCCTTATCAGACCTTTTTAGACTGATGGCAATATGATATTTTTTAATACTTCAATAAAATATAGATAATTGGTGTCCCTGTATAAACATAATATCACCACACAATGCTACATTGCCCCCATTTAATGTTCATATTTGACCGACTCTTCTCCCGTTTCACAGTCTTTTCTAATGTTGAAGATATATAATATATGCATTCATCCATCTTTCTGTGTGGCACTTTGCAGAGTTCTTTGAGAGTTCTGCACGGCTTAAGGGATTTTCTGACTTTCTTAACATTAAATCGATTAAACTCCCCTTTGGACAGCTGTATCTTCGTGCCGTGGATATTTGTTTATTACGTCTTACTAATGCACAATAGTAAGACGTAATAAACAAATAACAGTGGACAGACATAAAATTGGAAATAACGTTTTAAAGAACGACTTCCTGGGAGTTTCATGTTGTCAATTTATTGTTACAAACAAATCAAGAATCTTTATAGCAAGCAATGTTTATTAAAAAAAACAAAAGAACAAAAAAGCAGATCTACAACAAGAACTACACGTGGAATATTATATAAGGCCTATTTGATTAAACTACTATTGCTATTACTGTACAATATTGTACCAAAAAAAGAGTGTACCTCTGTAATGTACAACATTGTATTTACAAAGTAAATCTGAACACAGGATTCTCCAGTAATACAGAGACAACTATAAATAGATTTGACATTACGGTCTTTTTTTTGTTTTGTTTTTAAGTTCTGTCATTTTCAAACTGACACAAAAATGCATATGTAACAATATTCAACGCCTACATTATCATCCCCACACAGTTAGTCCACATGCAAGCCAAGTTGTTCAAGTGCACGATGATTGATTTGAGATCAAAAGAGGCTCCCAGTTCCCTTTGGACAGCACAACTGGGACAAAACACACCAACCACCCACATGCATGGTGTGTATGTGCGAGAGTGTTTGTGCCGACAATGTCATTTCATGTTTCTGCACCACAACCACACACACGAACACACATGCACGCGCGCACAATCCCTCCAGTTCTCATGATGAGGTAAGAGCAACACAAATACACAAGGTAACACACAATCAGTATACAGTGATTAAAAATAAACCTTAACACTAACAAATCATTGCCTGGGAGAGAGAGAGCATCCATGAGTGCACTATGTGCTGGGTAATGTGAGTTTAGCATTTGTTCAACACGGTTACAAAAAAAGGCTTTCTTTCTTGGATCTGGGTGAAGACAACTGGCAAACGAAGACATTTTAAGTATCCCTGTACGCTTTTTATCTGGTGACATTTATACAGTGCATATTTGTTCAGCGCTCAGGCGGCCAGCACTCCAAAACACCGGAGAAGTTTCTGTGTGTCTCCAGGCAGTCGCTGTTGGTTGGCATCCGTTTTTGCTTAGGCAAGGGCTGGGTGAGGTGCATACATACTCTGCCAATGCGTGCCTGACACAGGAGCACGCATGTGCATTTACCCAGGTGGCTACAAAACTCCACAATTTACAAATTCTGAGCATAAAAACCCAAAAAAAACCCAAAAAACCCCCAAATGAGAATATAAACAAACTTTGCTTAAGAACGTATTCGATGAGGTGGTTGGTTGTGCTTTTATATAAACACACTCAGGAGGAATCTCAGCTCCGTGCTTCCAGTTATCATTGTGATTATTAAATATACATACACACTGTTAGAATAATCAAAACTCCTTTTTTTACGGCTATGTTTGAAGGATGTCGTTAAAAGGAGCAAAATGTAGCTCTGTTTGGAGTTGGACTCGGACAGCTGCTGCTGCTGCAGTGGCTGCAGTCAGCGGCCCCCAGCATGCAAGGAAAACCTGAAAGGGGTTTAGCTGCCACAAAACAAAAGCACTGCCACGCACATACGTTTAAAGAAAACGTACGTTTGCATGTACAGTCCAACACTACATAGGAAAATGCTGGGTCTTCAGTGGTCCCCTACACACAAAACCGAGCTGCAGGAGACGAGCAGCACATAATGCCACAAACTACCAGGGTTTAGCATTTGTATTGCTTTACGTAGACTTAAAATTATTGTTGGCCATGTTATTTTATGCTCCTGTTGTGGTGCGAATACAAAAAAAGAAATATTAAAAAATAAGAATATTTCGAAATGATATTGAACACTGAAGGAAAAAGGCAAAGTAAAGCTCTCCATCATATGACTTGCACAGGTATTTGGACCAGTTTTCTTTTCTTTTTGTTATCATCCCAAAAGTCTGCCTTTACCTCCAGCTTTCCACTTCTGAAGCAGCAGGTCAGTGTGTGAGTTAGAGGTTAGCATTTCACAGTCTGTTCTCTGAAATCTGGTCTGCTAGTCACGGGGTCATTAAAAAGATAAAAAACGCTGTCGTATCTACTATACAAAAAACCAAACAAATTAAAAAAACAGTGCTTTTTATTCCTCACATAAATCTGTGTATAAAAGGCAAGTAACACTCTTGCACGCCCACTCAAATGGAATTTCATACAACGCAAACTAGTGTATGCAAGCTCCAGGGCCTGTATGAGTCCACCCTGAGTCCTGCTCCCCTGTACAAGATTTGAAAATCCAGCAACGTCTGGAATCTCTGTGGTGGCAAGAAGGAAAAAAAGAGAGAAGAAGTGTCTTTTGCTTTATCAGTGATAGTTGAGCTGTAGTAAAGCAGAGCTGGCAGGAGAGGGCAGATTAAAAACTTGACACTAAATTGAACATGGCATCATAAGGAACTCATCTGGTCTCCAAGTAGTGAATGCTACATGTGAGAATTGGGTTACGGGTCCTATGTGTAACAAGCGAAGCGCTTTTGGCACCTGACAGAAGAGCTGCAAGAATCTTAAGAGTTTGCAAGAATCAGGATTTCCATTTTGGGACTTAAGCAGGGCAAGATTTATCATTAGACTGGGATGGAGGGGGAGGGGGAGGCGTGTGGGGGAGAGAGTGTGTGTGGCCTGCAGGTGGAGGAGGAGGCGTAGGGGGAACAGTGGAGGTTGGGGAGCCCATTGCTGGACTGCCGCTACCTCCTCCACCCTTTGGGAACACCACCGGCTTGGGCCTTGTTGCTGGCGGGCGCGACTCTCTGAAGGAAGATAGGGATGAGGAGTGAGAGGTGGACAAAGACGGGGACGTGGCAGAGGGCAGGGGGCTCCGTGGCTGGCTCTTGGCAGGGCGGAAGGAGGAGGGCACGTCGCTAGCTGAGGAGGCGCTGCGCTGGAGTGAATGGGCGTGTGAGCCTCCCTCATTGTCCCGCAACAGACGGGAGTGGAGTGGACTAGAGGGCTCTGAAGCTCCTCCTCCGCTTTTCAGCTGCTCCAAGGTGTCCAGCACCACGTCAGGGGTATGTGTATGTTTCGGGGTGCTCTGTCTTTCCAACTTACTGAACTCATTTAAGGTTGTTTCAATGTCCTGTAATGAAGGAATCCGACATAAAGTAAACACACACAGACAGAAAGCTGAAATGTTCCAGATGTTTAAACTTGAAGCTGAAATGAAAGCAGTACCTGTGAGAGGGGATCCACCTGGGCTATGACTTCAGGGTCCAGTGGTCTGTGGTTGCTGAAGCTCTTGGAGCGCCCTGCTGTAGTCGTCTTCCGCAACTGTGGACTCTCCACCTAAAAGCAGCACAATGGCCTCAATTAAATGTTTTCCCAGACAGCAATAGTGCAGTCACTCCATGTCTGCATACAAAAGGAGATCCAGTTACAGTACCTTGGTCTTGAGTGAGGAGTGGCGAGTAACTGAGTTGAGGATGCTATGAGCGCTCACGGGTCGCTTGTCCCCGGTTTCTTTTACAAGAGCGCCGCCAACAGGAAGAGAAGCGGTCCTCACTCCTCCTCCCCCGCCTCCGCTGGTTCCTGGACTTGTGCTGTCGCTCTCTGAGCGGAACGTTCTTCTGATGTTCCCGGGCTCCGGCCGTTTCCTCAGCCTGAATAACACAAATGTTTTACTCATTTCTTTTCTATACTATTGTGAATCATTACGAAATGTTCATGGAGCTAATGGAAAAACAATCTGAAAAGAATAAAACCACACATGACTAATGTCACAAACTGTCATCTGACTGAAACGTATATATTTTGAGACGTATCTGCACACGATACACACTTGTTCAGGTTGGCCAGATAGATGTCAGCTACATGAGCTCCTGTAGGAGAGGCAGCACTGACTCGAGTGGGTACTCTATCCTCCAGCAGATCCCTGCTGTCCAAGTCTGGCTTTGGACTTCCTCGCCCCACATCAGACCTGGAGGGAAAAAAGAAACACAGCAAAATCGCGTTACTCCCGCTCTGCCTCTGCCTTGCATCAAACCTACA